GTTGTTGTTTTTTTGTGTGGGTTTTTTTTTTTTTTAGGTTAGTTGTGATCCTTCTTGTGGTTGTACAAGGAAGAGAAGCCTGTCTACCTATGCCTCCATCTTGACCAGAAGTCCTCAGTATTATTTTGTATTACTTTCAGGTGTACAAACTAGTGGTTAGACAATCATATAGTTTACAAAGTATCCCCTGATATCTTCAGTATCTACCTGGCACCATACATAGTTATTGCAATATTATTGACTATATTCCCTATGCTGTACTTAACATCCCCATGACTATTATGTAACTACTATTTTGTATTTCTTAATCCCTTCACCCAGTCCTGAACATCCCTCCCCCTGGCAATCATCAGTCTGTTCTCTGTTTTTATGAGTCTTTCTGTTTGTTCTTTTGTTTTGTTCTTTAGATTCTGCATACAAGTGAAATCATATGGTATTTGTCTTTCTGACTTATCACACTTAGCATAACATCCTCTAGGTCTATCCATGATGTTGCAAATAAATAGTAATATTTCAATCTTTTTTATGGTTGAGTAATATTCTATGGCATATATATACCAACACTGTGTTATCTACTCAACTTTTAATGGGCACTTGGGTTGTTTCCATATCTTGGCTATTATATATAATGCTGCAATGAACATAGGGGAGCATATATTCATTTGAGTTAGTGTTTGGGGATTCTTCAGGTATCTATACAGAAGTGGAATCACTGGACCATAATGCAGTTTCATTTTTAATTTTTCGAGGATTCTCCACACTGTTTGTATAGTGGCTGCACCAGTCTGCATTTCCACCAACAGTGCACAAGGGTTCCCTTTTCTCCACATCCTCACCAACACTTCTTGTTTGTATATTTATTGATGATAGCCATTCTGACAAGTGTGAGGTGATACCTCATTTTGGTTTGAATTTGCATCTCTCTGATGATTACCAACATTGAGCATCTTCTCATATGTCTATTGGCCATCTGTATGTCCTCTTTGGAGAAGTGTGTATTCAGGTCCTCTCTCCATTTCTTTAGTTGGATCATGTGTTTTTTTAGTGTCAAGTAGCATGATTTCTTTATAAATTTGGATATTAATCCCTTATCAGATATATCATTGGCAAATATCTTCCTCCATTTACTAGGTTGTCTTTTCACTTTGCTGATTTTTTTTTCTGTGCAAAAACTTTTTAGTTTGATGCAATGCCATTTGTTCATTTTTTTGGTTTGTTTCCCATGCCCAAGGAGATATATCAGGAAAAATATTGTTAAGACAAATGCTAGAGATTTGACTGCCTATGTTTTATGGTTTCAAGTGTTATGTTTAAGTCTTTAATCCATTCTGTGTTTATTCTTGTATATGGTTTAAGGCGGTCTAATTGATTTTTGGCACGTATTTGTCCAGTTTTCCAACACCCTTTATTGAATAGATTGTCTTGACCCTGTTCTATATTCTTGCTTCTGTGTCAAACATTAATTGACCATAGATTTATGGGTCTATTTCTGGGTCCTGTATTCTGTTCCATTGATCTATATGTCTGTTTTTATGCCAGTGCCATGCTGGTTTGGTTACTATGGCTATATAGTTCAGATTGATATCAGGTAGTGTGATGCCTCCAACTTTGTTGTCCTTTTTCTAAATCGGTGAGGCTGTTCAAGTCTTTTATGGTTCTATGAAAGTTTTTGGATTATTTGTTCTAGTTTTGTAAGATATACCACTGTTATTTTGATAGGAATTGCATTGATCTGTAGATTGTTTAGTTAGTATGGACATTTTAATGATGTTAATTCTTCTTGTTAATTCTTCTTGATGTTAAGTCTTCTTCTTCATTAACCACGGTATATACTTCCATTTACTTGTATCTTCTTCAGTTCCTTCTTAAGTATCTTATAATTCTTCAAGTACAGATCTTTTACTTCCTTGATAATTTATTCCTAGATAGATATTTATTTTCTTTTAATTCTTTTTTCAATAAAGATTTTATTTACTTTTAGACATAGGGGAAAGGAGGAGGAAAGAGAGGGAAAGAAACATCAATGTGTGGTTGCCTTGTGCACCCGCTACTGAGGACCTGGCCTGCAACCCAGGCATATGCCCTGACTGGGAATCTAACCTGCAACCCTTTGGTTCTCGGGCCAGCGCTCAATCCACAGAGCCTTACTGTTGTGTTCTCCTGTAACAGTATCACTAATAAAACAAAGGTCCTTAGGGCCATCACCCTGTTTGTCCTTTGTGGACAGCACTGCTGGCAGCTTGGCTCAGAGGGTGAAAGCAAAGCAAGCTGGTGAGACACCAGTTCCTGACCCAGCAAGTTAGTGACACAAATCCTCAAGCTTTCTGGCTTTTAATGTTGCCATAGCTGTAAAAAGTAAAAAGAAACATTTGAGCACATCTTTTAGAGATGCAGAAATAGACTCCAATCATATTTTTGGTGTACTTTTATAACCTTTTTGAAGAGAAGACAAAAGTAGTTTCGTCGGTCTCAATAACTTTGCATGCCCATTTCAGATGGAGAAAACAGCAGACACATCACTATCGCAATTTAAAGTATATGTGAGCTCAAAGACAATATAAAATAAATAATGTTAGCACTGGTTATTCCTGGATGGTAGGACTGTGGATGATTTCTTTTTTTACCTTTTTGTATTTATCAGACTTTTGGGTATTACTTTGGGAAAAAGGAACAAGGAAACAACTTTCTTTAAAAACAATGCACTTTAAAATTTTACCTGTTAACATGATCCAGACCTTTATATATATAGGCCTTTTATATTTACACTTTGGATATTGAACAGTTTACTTTTACACCACCAAGTTAAGAGCCATGCCTTCACTTTAAATGCCAAGGACAGTTTTTACTGTACTCTTTTTTTGTACTGTCTCCCTGTACCTGACATAAGAGATGGAAGACATTTTATGTTGGGCTTATGGATATATCCCATCCAGACCAAGAAATATTGTTCTTCCCATACTGTTACATAGGTTTTCTTTACTTATTTAAACAACTTATGCATTGTATGTTTTAAGTGCATTAATGCATTACTTTCAATGCTGCTGAGTTCATTGATATTTAAAAGATTGTATTTCCTTCCTAGTTAAATTTCTCTCAGAAAATTCTGGCGCTGCTTTATTGCTCAAGGTAAGGAAATGCACTGCAGTGGATCAATTCTGGCTTCTTTTTCTTCCTGCCTTCAGGACATCGGGTTAAACACAATGGTTTATATTTCACTGGTTATTCCTTCTGGGCCCAAATTTTTGATATTTGATAGTTTGTGTTTTCTTACCAAGAATATTTATATGAAGAACACATATTATTATTTCCCATATTGTACAGTGTCCCTTTTGTAAGAAGTAAATTAGAATCAGTTTCACAAGGATATTAATTGCTCTGGTTTTATTTTCATTCTGTGGTGTGTGTGTATATAAGTGTGTGTGTATATAAATATATATATATATTTATTTGTTCATTCAAACTACCTTGTCACTACTATAATCCTATGGTAAAACCCAAGCTTTGAAATAGAGAAACAATAATTGGATTTGTATTGAGTACGTTAGGAAATAAAGCTTTCTTTGTTCATGTCATCTTTATTAAAAGAAATCAGAAAAATAGAGCACATCCAAAGTTCATTTGTTCTTAAGCTGTAAGACTCCACATTTATTTCTGGATGGTCCACAAAGATAATTATGTGAAATAAATATCCAGAGTTGAAATATAAACTTTATATTCTGCAAATACTGAAACCTATTTTGTTAAAATACAGTTTGTTTCTCATCATATCAGGGCTCAGTTTTACAATTGATGAAAGATTTCAAAAAAGATAAAGTTACACCTATCTAATCTTAATAAGCCCCAGTATTCCTGTCTTTCTTGTAAAGTAGTTGTGGAAACATTAGGCAAATTTTAGTTCTGGTTTTTGTCTAAGGTTAAATGCATTCTGATTTGGTATAAAAGGTAGAAGATAGGTATTTTTCCCCATTTGATACAGAAAGTAGCCATTTATTCTGAAAGAGTTGTTCTCAGCCTACCTGTGATTCAGGTAGGCATCTGGTTCAGTCACTGTCTGGATTCAGGCAAACAGTCGCTGTTCTGAGATGTTTGTTGTGTCCTTCCCTTCACTCCCCACTGAGGATACGGTTGTTTTCTTTATTAGCAATCCAGGTATCCCAGCAACCACGTTCCTGTTTCTGCTCTCTAATGAATGAATGAGCTTCAAATAACTAATCTTGAGAAAATATGAATGGTTACCTTAATTTAAATGACAGAGTTTTTAGTGTGCTCTTCACAAATGGAGTTAAGACTTGCTAAAGTATCTAGACTTGCTAAAGCAGTTCATGTTGCTTTTGGGTTAAGTGGACAACTACATACTCTTGTGTTGAAAGAAAATCTTAAAGACACAAGAACTGAATAATAAAAATCCCTTCTGTGTTTGTTTGTTTTTGAGAACCTTTGCTCATGGGAAATGAAGGGCAGTATCCCTTCACATTCATAGTCTGGGATTCAGGCTTGTGCCTTGGAGGAACTAGTGATTTTCCTCCATGTTATGGTGTGTGTCTGTATGTGAAGGAGATAAAAATATTGGAACTAATGCATTAGTGAAATAAATCAATAAAATAAAAACACAAACCAATTAAAGACACAAACCAAGGACATAAAGTCAGCATTTTCTGGAGCACTCAAAGGTGACTGAATCTTGGCAGAACAAAGACAGTATTGCATTCTGGGGAATTTCACTGAATAAAAAAGAAGAGTTAAAAAATACTTCTGAAGGGATAACCAAATAAAGAAATAGGACTATGCATGTGAGAAGATTTTAAGGAAAGACTTAACTTTTCCCCAGGTCCATTTTTCTGACCCTCAGATAAGGTCTTTCCAGCAGCCTATGCAGTACTCAACCATAGCAGTGGTTTTTTCGAGCGCTTGTAAGCAATTCAGAACTTGGGCCAGGCTCCTATGGATGAGAGGTGGGCTGCATTTCACCTACTTTGGTCCTTACAATGACTCAGATGTTAGAAGCAATTCTCTGGTAAATAATAAATAAGCCTCTTTAGAACTAAGAGCACATTGAAACTGCTGTGAACAATTAAGTTAAAGTTTTCCTACAGAAATGCAATGGTCTGGATGACAAAAATAACATACCTGAGAAATGCCTCAACACTAAAGAGTGGGCAAGAAAACAGACCAGGGAATTGAGTGATTGGTGTGTACACAGTGGTTGTTTTCATTAGCTTACACTAATTTGAATTAAATATCCTTCCCTCTAGTCCTTACATTCAGAACCCTCCCAGGGGCTTACAGCTTTTCCTTAGTAATCAACTAGAGCTTTGGATGATGCCTCCCAATTAAAGGGGAAAGTAGAAAAATAAGACACTTATTGACCAGCTTTGTGTAACTCTGGCAGGAAGTATTCTGTGTTAAAACACATCAAGAAATGTGTAAGTATGCAAATATGTATAAGGATAAGATGTTTAGAATTTCTTCCCCATTCAGAGAGAAGTTGCTAGGTAATTTCAGGAATGCTGTTGTCAATTGCTTAGGGAGCATCTTCCCCTTCCTCTCAGGACGAATGTGCACACCATATGTTACGGTTGCAGTGTGTGTGGACATTCTTGCGGTTTGTGATATGGAAAGACATGTTTCTATTTCTACAGAGGATGAACTAAACAAGTAAATCTTCCTGCTACTTTCCCATGAAAATCTGATAGTGGATTGAGGTGTGCCCATGATTTTCTATGAAGGAAAAAAAGTAATACTACATTTTCGTCTCTAAATGGAAAAAGCAAGCACCAAGTTTCTCTGTGATTTCATTAAAGCAAACAGTTCTCACATCTTATCCTGCCTTTCTGGTGAAGTCAAAACTGGTCTGGTTCTAGTGCCATTTTCCATAGCAGAAAACTCTCCTTGCCACTGTTTTATTTAAAAACCAAGCCTAAATCACAACCCGGTTTACACGCTGTCTTTAATCCACATAAAGAATTCTCACAGCCAACAAAGCAACTTATACATTAAAGGCTTTCCAAAGAAATAAGCCCAAATCACTGACAGAATTCTTACTAGCTGTTATTTCAAAATAAGTTTTGTTATCTATCTCAAACTAAATGGTTTCCAGTATTTCCCACATATTATCACAGCTGCAAATCCAAGATATTAAAGAGAGAAGTCAATTTAAACCTGTTCTTTACCATCTGTCTAAAGTTGCCTGATGAGAGTTACATTCACAGACACAGTGCTTTTGTGTGTGGATCACAATATAAACTCCTTTACATAAAGGCAATATGTTGCAAAATCGATGTTTCAAGACCACAGAGGAGACATCACAACTTGAGTCAAGCATTAAGAAGTTCATCATCCGAGTGTCCAATAGCATCTGGGTTTGAAAGTGGATCCATGTCTGCAAATAGCCTGAACCAGGCTGACATGTCTTGGTTACCATGGTTGGGAGCTATTAAAGGAAGCATACACACATTAATGAGTCTCAGATTTTTGAAATCACATTACTGTGCCGCTGTTATGATTTTAAAGTAAATGCTTGTTTTGAATCAAAAAAAGACAACAGACAAGAATAAACTATCAATTATATCTTCTTAAGGATAATTATGAAAAACAAATGCAGACACCAATACTTGGCTGAGGCTCCTATATCTAAGTGATTGCATGTTGCTCTGAGAAAAGACCTGATAAAAAGGCAAGCACTAGTGAAGCTTTCTGAGAATCACTAAGATAATTTATACAAGGCTCTCAGATGAGGTTCAAAATTCAAAGTAATCTTTGTTCTTACAAAGTAGGAACATTACATTGTAAACTTAGTACTTAAAGTATTTATTATAAAAGCAATGTTGAAATATTAACATAAGGGGAGAAAATCCCCCTAACCCTATCACATTAAAACACCCAGCAGTTTTTTTGGTTTACAGTTTTTTCATTTGTCTTTTCCATGAGCACTTGACAAATTTTTAATATTTTTTAAATTTATGTTTTCAATTATAGTTTACATACAATACTGTATTGCTTTCAGGTGTACAACATAGTGATTATACATTTATATAACTCATGAAGGGATCATCCCAATAAGTCTCATACCCATCTGACACCATACATAGTTACTACAATATTTCTGAATATACTCCCTACCTGTACTTTACATCCCTGTGACTTTTTATATGAGAAAGAGAAATTAAGAAAATCTCACTGACAATTGTATGAAAAGAATAAAATATCTGTGAATAAATTTAACCAAGAGGATAAAGGATCTATGGTGTGAAAACTATAAGACATTGAGGAAATAAATTGAAGTCACAAATAAATAGAAGGATATACCATGCACATGATTGGAAGTATTAATATTGTTTAGAAGTCCATACTACCCAAAGAAGTCTACTCATTCAATACAATTCCTATCAAAATACTAATGACATTCTTCTCAGAACTAGAATAACTCTAAAATGTATATGGAACCATAAAAGACCATGAATAGCCAAAGCAATTTTAAGAAAGAACAAAGTTTGAGGTATCATACACTGCTTCTAAATTATACTACAAAGCTATCATACTCAAAATGGTATGGTACTGTCACAAAAACAAATACAAATCTCAGTGGAACAGAACAGAGAGTCCAGAAATAAATCCTCCTTATATGGTAAACTAATATAAAACTAAGGAGATAAGAATATACAATGGAGTAACAACAGTCTCTTTAACAAACAGTTTGGGGAAACTAGACAGATTCATGTAAAAAAATCAAAACTGGACTGCTTTCTTATATGATATACAAAAATAAACTCAAAATGGGTTAAAGATTTAAATGTAAGGCCTGAAACCATAAAACTCCTACAAGAAAATATAGGTAGTAAATATTTTACATCAGTTTGAGTAATATTTTTTTGGATACGTCCTCTCAAACAAGGGAAACAAAGCAAAAATAAACATATGGGGCATCGTTAAACTAAATAGCTTCTGCCCAGTGAAGGAAACCACCAACAAAAAAAACACCTACTGAAGGGGAGAAGATATTCATCAATGATATGTCCAATAAGGGTTTGATATCCAAAATATACAAGGAACTCCTACAACTCAATAATAACAACAAAAAATAATCCGATTAAAAATGGATGGAGGACATGAAAAGACATTTCTCCAAAGAAGACACGTATGGATGGCCAACAGACATGAAAAGGTGCTCAAGATCACTAATGACCGGGAAATGCAAATCAAAACCACAAAGGGATCACCTTGTACCCGTCAGGATGGCTGTTCTCAAAAAGTCGGGAAACGTCCTGGAGAAGATGTGGAGAAAAGGGAACCTTTGTGCACTGTTGGAGTGGCTGCAAATGGGTGCGACCTCTGGGGAAAACAGTATTCCTGAAAAAGCTAAAAACAGATCTGCCATACGACTTAGCAATTCCACTTCTGGTAGTGATCCAAAAAAGACAATAACACTGATTCAAAAGTTACATGCCTGCCTATGTTCATTGCAGCATTATTTACAATAGTCAAGGTATGGAAGCAATGTAGGTGTCCATGGGTAAAGATGTTATTTAGATACACAAACACACACAATGGAATATTATGCAGCCATAAACAAGAATAAAATCTTCACATTTGTAACAATATAGATGGACCTAGAGGGTATTGTGCTGAGTGAAATAAGTCAGAGGAAGACAAATACAATATGGTTTCACCTGTATGTGGAATGTGAAGAAACATAACAAAAGAAAACAAAAACCACTCATAGAAACAGAGACCAACAGGATCCTAACCAGAAAGGAAGAGGTGGGTGGGTGGACAAGAAAAGATGAAGAGGAGTACAGTAAATAATACTGTGATAAGTTTGCATGGTAACAGATGGTCACTAGAATAAGTGGGGTGATGACACTGTAAGGTATAAAAATGTGAATCACTATATTGTACACCTGAAACTAATATATACCAACTGTACATAAATTAAAAATTTAATACAAATTAAATGCAAGAAATAATGAATACTTGATTTTAATCACATGGAGACCTCAGCTAAATTGAACTAAGAAGCATCTTAGTAAAAACAAGAAACAGTAGAACAGAGGGACTATATCCTATTAAAGAGTCCATATCCAAAACATTTTGTAAAGCTGCATAAATGCATCAGATTGAATAGCTAAAGAGATATGGCAAGTGAATACAATGTCTACCCCTAGACTTGCTGTACCCACAAGGAAAGTGCTGTAAATTTCCTAAAGTTTACAGTCACACCGTGATGGTGAAAGTGACTATACTTGTTCTCAGGAAACTACAGTATTCAGGGTTAAAGGGTCATGATGTATGTAACTTACCCTCAACAGGTTCAGAAATAACACTGACGCCTGCATAAAGCAAATGGGTAAAACACTATAATAGGTAAATCTGAGTAATGGGTATACAGATGTTTTCTGTGGTATTTTCATTTATGCACAATTTCTGTACATTTGAAATTCCAATTTTAAAAGTTTTTTAAAAACATCAGTGACTAAGATTAATATGTATGTAACGTTCTGCAAGACAGAGTGTGTCTATTTTCTATGTATACCCTGCATGGAAATTACAACATGGACCAGCTCTGCTGACAACAATATGGTAAGTACTCAGTACATTAGCAATTACTGTGTGCCAGGCCCCATGCTAGTGCGTGCAAGAATGCATTATTCGTCAGTAGGCATCTGGTAATCAGAGAGCATCTCCTATCCCCAGTGGTATTATCCCTTGTAAACAAACCTTAGCACAAAATATTAAAAGTTAAAGTACAGAATTTAGTTTACTAAGACAAGCTCACCAATTTCTATTCAATGCTTTCTATGGTAACGGATAGCCCGGTACAGCTTTCATTCCAATTCACTGCTTACAAAATATTTTTCTGGGTAGTATGAGGTGACTAAAATGATCCCTTTCTACATGTATCTGAATTTGACTGATTGCTAATACAATGGCAGAGAATATAAATAAATAACTTACATTTTGTTAATTTCTTTGGCCTCTGTGAAGGCACCGGTTTGTTATCAGTGTGTGGAAGAGGAAGTTCTAATCCCTCTTTGGAGGCCCAGCCTGTGGGGAGGGAAGTGACGAATTATCCACTGTTGATCAGACAGGAAGTAGCATCAAGTAGCACCACAGAAACAAGAGGAGGTAAAAAGATCTAACAAGTCTTCATACCAGGGTAAGATTCTACAGTATAAGAAGTATAAAACACTTACAATTTATATGCAACCATGTATTTCATTCAAATCTAAATTTAGTCCCAGCTAGAGTTAAATTAGACTTCCCTACATTTCTCAAAGTGGTTTTGAAATACAGCCATGCGCTGCATAATGACAATTTAATCAATGGCAGATCCCATATACAACAGTTGTCCCATAACATAAAGGAGCTGAAAAATTCATAGTCCCTAACAACATTGTAGCTGTTGTAATGCACCACGACATAGTGCGATGCATTACGTGTTGGTGGTGATGCTGGTGTAAACACACCTGCACTGCCAGGTGTATGAAAGTGCAGCACATACAATTACAGTAGTGGGCTTCACTGTCCGGGTTTGTGAAAGTACACTCTATGATGTTTGCACAATTACAGAGTCACCTAATGACACATTTCTCAGAACGTTTCCCCATCTTTAAGGGCCACATGACTGTAAATACACAGTTTTTTTTAACAATTGCTAAAGGACATGGTATAGAAAGAGAAGTCCTAAGGAGTCGGGAAGAGAGGAAACAGACCTGACAGAATCTTGAAACCAACAATTATGTTTATACCCTTGGACTCAGTAATCCTAGTCCTAGAAATATAAGGAAACAATTTAACTGAAGAAAAAAGTGCATGCATGATCATGTTTATCGCAGCATTATCTATTAAGTGAAAAAAATAGAAACAATAAGGAATGAAGCAGATTATCGTGGGTAAATGTGACAAAATACTATGTAGTAATTAAAAAATTCATAATGAATACTCTATTGGTAACACAGGGAAATGTTTGCTGTAATAGGAAGTTATCTATGCTTTAATTAAATCTCAGTACTGGAAAGGAAATTAGATTATCCTGTCTACTACCTTCCTTGTAGGAAGGAGATCATTTGAGGCCCAAGATCTTCTTTGGGATTCCTAGAACGTAAATCTTTGAACTCTCAAGGCAGCTCAGTCTCCTGGTCTACATCACAGGAGCAAAAGAAGTAAACCCAGCAGAAAGACAGTAGAGCACAAGAGTCCTGCACTAGGAGGCAGGAAGCCAGACGTTTGTCTTCTGGTGACCTTAGATTAAACAAGACACAAACACTGAGTATCAGCTGCCTCAGCTATTACATGGAAATACCCCGTCAGCCTGCAGTCAGGGGCCAGAACAAAAGTTCTGAGTGGTGAAAAAATATTGTTGATCCCTGGCCGGGTAGTAGCACAGTTGGTTAGAGATTCATCCTTCTATAACAGGCTGTGGGTTCAATCCCTAGTCAGGGAACACACAGGAGACAACCAATAAATGCACAGATGCGTGGAACAATGAACTAATGTTTCCCACTCTCTCCCTCCCCCTTCCACTTTCTCTCTCTCAATTCAATTAAACATTTTAAAAGAAATATTGTTGAGGTTGTATTGCCAGAAAGAGAAGAATCCAATGCTGGTAGGCATGTGGCAAATTAAGGAGAAAGACAGAAGGAGTTCACAGCAGAGAAGGAATCAATTTGCAAATATGTGTAACAATTGGGCCAATGATAAGCCATATGAAAATTATTGTTTTCTAAGTTTTTACAATAGCAAAACATTTGAATTATCCTAGAATACCTCTTTATCAAATGATACTGTCCCTTCTCACTTTTAGGCTGTGTAACAAACTCTTATGGAGTGATTGTCAACTGACATGTATTTATCGAGCTAACTTTCTGTTACAAAGATGAATCACCCACAGAGCATGCCCTTGAGATGCTCGCAGATTGCATAAAATATAATGATCCTGCAGATAAAGTATGAACATAAGTATTTCAATACAAAGTACAATGCATTAAGACACTGTTAGGTGCTATGAGGCTTTTTCTCAAGAGTTAAGACCTACTAGGGGATAAAGATAGAGATATCTTTTATCTCTATCTAAAGGCAAGATAAACTGCTTACAACCATGAAAACAAACCATGATGAGGCCAGAGGAGGGAGAAACCACGTCCATTTGGCAGGACTGAGGACGTCTTCAAAGGTTGGTTGTCATGGAGCACAGGCAGGTTTTATCCTGGAGCCCATGGTGCTTCATTTTTAAATCATGTAAGCATGGTGCTGACGTCAGAATCTGCTTCTGGGAGACAGAACTCTGGAGGATGCATGGAGGGTGTGGGAGGGCTCTAGCAGCAACCCAGGAAACCAAATGAGCCTCTAAGTGGCTTTGGTTGTGGAGGCAGAGGAGAGAAGTGGGAAATTTAAGACACGTTTTAGAAAGAGAATAGACAGGACTTAACAACCAATATGGAAGTGGGGAGCAAAATGACTGCCGAGGTGCTGAGCTGAACACATGGTGGTACAACAGTAGGTGAAGAGAGGGCATCCTCGATGTATAAACAAAGCAGGCGACCCTTTCCTCAGGAAGATGGCCTGCCCCCAGCTTTCTGCCGCCGTTCCCACCTCTGCAGCTGCCATAGAACCAGCCTCCAGGGCTGTTCCCTGTTTCCTCATCAACTCTGAACCCCCAGAAGGAAAACCCCAAATTTTGCCAGGTGGATGAATCTGCCTGCCTGCCCTCTGTAGGGGTAACCTAGCAAGTCAAGAGTTTCAGACAAAACACTGATTTTCTGTGTAGAGAAGATACCTGGAAAAGTCAATGAAGAAAATGTGGGGGTTAGTGGAGGTGGAAAGAAAGCAGCCTTTGTTTCACTCTCAGACTCAGTGTTCTTTTCCCAGTTGACTGGTGTGACTACAGATTTTACCTAGTAGCACCGAAGATAAGTAAAATCAAGTCTTCTTCATTTTAGCATCCACATGTATAATGTCTTGTTTCACAAAGACAGAATAAGGCATGGGTGTCCAAACATTTCATAGACACTTACTGTTGAAAGCTCCAGCGGCATGAAGGCCAAGGTCAAAGAGGTGTGAAGGAAGGAATCGCGCAGATTGAGCAAGAGGCTCAGACCCCACAGAAGGCTCCTGGGGCCTCAGACTGGCATTGAGTCTCCCCACGGCAGTCTGGCGTTCTCCAGTGACTTCACTAGTACTTGAAAAAGCAGGACTCAGGAGATTGTTCAGAAATGAGAATTCCTTCTCAAAGTCATCTTCCAATGAATCTACAGGTACATCTTTTGCAACTGTTGAGTGAAAGTAAAAACAGGGTGGCTTTTTTCTTTTTGAAGAAATGAAAGTAGGATATAGGGCAAATCAAATTTGTTTCACTGCTCTGATATTTTATTAACATAATTTTCAATAAGCAAAGTAATTGAAAGTTTATGTGAAAATTATTTCTAATTAGATAGGCTATGGATCACAATGGCCTCATTTCACAATGAATACAAAATGGTTATGAATATCTACATACAAAATAATTAAACAACTGCCTATGTAAGACAGACTACAGGAGATGGAAGGAGAAATACAAATTAATAATGGGAGACTTTAATATTTCACTCAGTAAAAAACACTCCAAGGGGAGAAAAGAAATAAAACATCTCAATAGCATAATCAATAAGGTAGTTGTTTTGAATATATACAAACCCTAATAGAAAATATATCTTCTCAAGCATACATTGAACATTCATAAAAATTAGTTATACTAAGGCACAAAAAATCAGTGAATTTCTCAAAGTATAAATATTACAAACAACATGCTCTGATTACAATGCACTGAAAAGAAATCATTTAAAAAATAAAAAGGCCCTTCCACCTGCAGATTTTAATACTTTCTATTAATTCTTATCTGAAAAGGAAGTGGAATTTTTGAAAAATAATGATAATGAAGACATTTCATATTACAGGGTAAGACAAAAGTAGGTTTACAGTTCATATGGAAAATAAAACAATAAATAATAATACAAGAATAAACTCTCATGTACTCACCATTGTAAACCACTTTTGCCCTACCCTGTATGATCCATCAGATACTTAAATATCAATTAACAGAGGAAAAATCATGACCCTATGTAGGGAACTGTTTCGCATGGCGGGGAAATGTAGCTCAGCCTCCACATGGAAAACCAGTGGGGAGCCAGTCAGCACACAGGACCATGCCCACAGAGAGGTTTTCCCGTGGGGAATCAGGCCTGCGTTGTACCTAGACTGCTACGAGATTTTCTTTTGCTAAAACTCCCTCACCCTGAATTGAGGCAGCAAGTGCTTACTGTGACTTCCTAAAGTCTGTGCTAAACCTCTCAAGTATGGAGTGTGGCCTGTTTAACCACTTTTCCCCTTGATCTGTAACATCCTTCTCTTTGAAGTAATTAGCAACATTCTTTCTTCTGTTATCTGTAAAAGGTAATCGCCTACAGCGAACCTGTGCATAGTAAATGAGGGCCATGCTTGTTGTAATGTACCCAGAAAAGCAATAAAAGCCTGTCTGGGCAGAGGTTGGGGCCCTCTTGCCCTGTCCCTCCCAGAGAGTGGCCATGCTGTCCCTTTTTCTCCACAGGACTTCTGTAGTCCGTGTGTATTTGTCTAGCAACCACAGCACATGGACCCTGCCGGCCAGGATCCGCACCAACCCTAAACACCTTTGCTAAATAAAAGTAAAAGAGGGGCTTCTAGCAGGATAGAGTGAGGAGGTCTACGGACCTGAATACCAGTTTTTAAATAGCTGGTGGAAATTATTTTAAAAACACCCATTTAAATTATCTTTAAATTATTCTAAGAGCACACATCAAAGGAAAGAAACATTGATTCAAGAAAGTCAGTTAAAATTCGGTAAGAACGAGAGACTGGTATTTGAACTAAGAACCACTCTCTTCCTTCCAACTCCCAATTCGGTAATTCCAGTCCAGCCTGGTGCAGCCAAAAACCAGGGCTCTGTCTCTCCCCAGCTCTGTGTCTAGAGTTTTCTTCCCAGGAGGAGCAGGAGGAGGTCAGCATTTCATATTCTTCCCCGAGTTACCTTTGCCAAGGCAAAGCCCTGGGGAGTGCAGACAAGAGGTGGAAGCTCCCATTTGCCACTGAGATGCCCAGACTCCAGATGGAGACCCTGATTTGGCTTTCTGAGCACATGGGGGCCCTTATCACTTGACTTTGTTCATAAGGTGGTAGTTTCACCCAGCAGGAGGCAAACCAAAAAGCCCTGAGACTACTGTCACCCTTCTCACTGCAGCTCCTAGAGAAAGGATGTCACTCAGAGAAAAACACTGTTGCTAGCCCCATATCAGCCACTACTAAGGGGTTTTGCCTGAAGAGAGAAACAAACTACCAACTAGCTCCTAATCTTTTCCCAAAGGAACTGACTGCATTTTAGCTGAGTTTGAAGAAATTCAAGCTTAAGGATGCTCTCAGAAAGTGGTGAAAGGCAACTGAGAGAAGATTGCTAGATTCTTTGGACAGTGAATTAGATTTATAGTAGCCAACTAGTTTTCCTGAAAGAACCAGCGAAAAAGCCAGCAAGGAAGAGCCTGCCTAGGATAAGAACAAATCTCAAACACTGACCTTGGGAACTTTCCTTTCAAAGGAGCCCAATTATGGTTAGTTTTGTCTGTAGAACAATCTAAGGTTCAGGGCATTCTTGAAAACAATAGAGCAAACAGCTAAAAATTAGTGGAGTTTAACAGCTGGGTGGAATCAGGGAAAGAGAGAGTCAGAATGAGCCCTTTCAAAACCACTGTCATGCCAAGGTAACTGGGTATAAACCCAGCCTGCAACCCATGAGGAGTTCCACTATTGGAGGAACAGATCCACTGAAACAATACAGCTGGTCACTAAGCAAATAATAATAACAAGCCTGAGAGGGGAGGACTAGTAGCTGAAGTTGCTAAAATATATTATCTAACATGTCCAGTTTCCAACAAGAAATAAAAGGCATGCAAAAAAAAAAAAGTATGACCCATACAATAGCAAGAAGGCACACAACAGAATCTGCCTGTGAGAGTGACCAAATGTCAGATTCAACAGAGCTTTCAAAGTTGTCCTTGTAAACATTTCAAAGAACTAAAGGAAAGTAAGGAGGTGAGGTGACAGATGTATTAATTAACTAGATGGGGAGACTTTTCACAATGCATATGTATATCATAGCCACACAATGTATTACTTTGAGTACCTTACAATTTTATTTATCAATTACATCAATAAAGCTGGAAAAAATTCAAAAAAGGAATATTTTAAAAAACATATAAGGTATTATGACAATGTTGCATCAAACAGAGAATATCAATAAAGAGTTAGAGATCACAAAAAAGAATCAAATAGAAATACTGAAATTGAAAAGTACAATAACTGAAATGACAAATCCACTACAGAGGATCAACAATAGATCCTAACTAGCATGAAAAAGAATGAGCTAACTTCAAGATAGACTGTAGAGATTAGCAATCCAAAAACAGAGAGGAGAAAAAAGAATAAAGGGAAATGAACAGACCCTGAGAGGAATGGTGGGCCAACATCAAAGGCACCAGTGTACACTGCCCTGGCCAGGTGGTTCAGTTCGTTGGAGCATTGTTCTGTATGCCAAAGGGTTGCAGGTTTGCTTCCCAGTCAGAGCACATACCTAGGTTGTGGGTTCAATCCCCCATCAGGGCATGTACAGGAGGCAACCAAGGGATGTTTCTCTCTCACTTTGATTTCTCTCTCTCTCCCCCACCCCAACACTCTCCCTAAAATCAATAAACATATCCTTAGGTGAGAATTAGAAAAAAAGTACCAATATACACATAACGAGTCTCAAATGTATGGGAGGGGGGCTTTGAAGAATTAAGAGACAAAATGTCCCAACTTTGTTGAAAACATCAACCTACTCATCCAACAGGTTTAACAAAACCCAAGTAGAATCAATACAAAGAGACCCTTATGTAGATATATCACAGACAAACTACTGAAACCCAAAGGTAAAATCCCCACATTCATGGATTGGAAGGACCAATATTGTCCACATGGTAATTAACTCCAAAGTGATGTATGAATTCATCACATCACTTTTTTGTAGTAATTGACAAATTGACTAAAAAATTTATACAGAAATGCAATGGGATTAGAATAGCAAAATAATTTTTGAAAAAAGAACAGTGTTGCATACTTACACTATCTAATTTCAAAATTTATTATAAAGCCATGGTAATTAAAACAGTATGGAACAGAATTCAAAATACAGAAATACACCCTTACATTTTTTGGTCACTTGATTTCAACAAAAATGCCAGGAAAATTCAATGGAGAGAGGAGAATCTTTTAAACAGATGATGCTGGGACAACTTGGTATACATATGCAACATACAAAAACAAAAAACCTGAGATAACTCACATCACATACAACAATTAACTCAAAAAGATCATAGTCCTACATGTAAGAACTAAACTTACAATATTACTAGAAGAAAACTTGGGAGAAGAATTTTTGTGACCTTGGGTTAGGCAAAGTTCTTACATATGACACCAAAAACAAAAAAAAATCCAGAAAAAATGGTAAATTATACTTCATAAAATTTTTAAACTGTTTAATGGACATACAATGAAAAATGTTACTGAGATACATGGTGGTAATAGTTGTACAACATTAGGACTGTATTGAATGCCATTAAACAGTACCCTTAAAAATGGTTAAGATGGTAAATACTATGTGTATTTTACTCTAGCAAAAAATTGGAGGGGGCAATTGGAGGGAGCAATAATGAACTATTGCTATATACAACAACATTGAATGGACGTTTTTTCTGAGATCGGTCAAAGGGAACAAAGAAGTTCTGGGCTAACGTACAGCATGGTAACTGCTAGTTAACAACACTGTGCTGTGTACTTGACAGTGGCTAAGACAGTCAATCCTAAATGTTCTTACCCCACAAATAAATGTAGTAACTATGAGAGGTGAGGGGTGGGTTACCTAATTTTACTGTGATAATCATTTTGCCATACACACACACATATATAAAATCATCACATTGTATTTCTTAAATTTACACAGTGTTATATGCCAATTATAACTTCAAAAGGTGGAAAAAATAAAAGTAACTCAAGTGTTTGTACAGAAGAGACAGAATGTGACTTAAGGGGAAGAGGTTTCAGGGACTGGGTGAATAAGGTGAAGGGATTAAGAAGTTTAAATAGGTAGCTACAAAGTAAGCAAGAGGATGAAAAGTACAGCATAGGAAACCATCAATAATATCAAGCTGTGAATGGTACCAGGAGGGCACTGGAAATATCAGGAGCAGGGAACACTTTGTAAAGATATGACTGTCTCACCACTATGCTATACACCTGAAACTAATACAAAATAATACTGAATGTGAACTGAAAAAATGACCTTTAAAAAAATTGAATAGATATTAACATAATCTCTTTTTTAAAGCTGTGACAAACTTTTGACATGTAAAATGTGATAATTTCACATTTTAATGAATTCAAAATCTTACCTGATTCACTTCCCAAGCTTACTTCTTCGTCTGACAAAACTAACCTGAAGTAAAAACCAAAACAAAAGTGCAAAGATTTTGGTTAAAATACATTTGGGACTTATATTCCTCAGTTTTCTATATATTTTTAAAAAATTTTTAAACCAGTTGCCCAGTAGATCTCTTAAAATCTGCCTTAGACGCATTCTGCTTCTTCTCTAGATCTACACGGTCTATGAACATAATCCTCACCCTTTATTCAGTTAGTAAAAACCTACTGAATGTTGGCAAAGCACCAGATCCCATGTTCAGCTTCGCAGGCACAATGCTAGCTCTACATTACAGGGAACCTCTATCACCAAAGCTGTTGAGTGATATTTGCAGAGAAGATGCAACTCTTTCCAAATACACAATGATATCCAGGAGTTCTATAATATGATACATAACTTTTGCCTGCTTATTAAAATATTTTCAATCAATACTAATTTTGAATATTTATATCATCCATCTAGTATAAAGTTAAAAAGTCAAACATAGATGCCCAAAGATGCCCTGGCCGGGTTAGTTCAGTTGGTTAGAGCATCGCCCCCTATATGGATTGCAGGTTCCATCTCCAGTCAGGGCACACACAAGAATCAACCAATGAACGCATACATAAGGGGAACAACCAATCAATGCTTCTCTATCTCTCTCCCTTCTCTCTAAAATCAATCAGTTAAAAAAAAAAGAAAAAAAATGAGTCAAAGATATTGAACACAGATTTAGTTATTATCCCTGGAATTTAGCCTCAAAATTCTAGCATTGAAGGTTGTTTTTAATGTTTTTTTAATAAAGCAAAGCAATATTTATTTGCAAATACAAAAATAGGCCTAAAGAGCAAATACATACTTAGGACTTCAGAGTGAAATTTCCGATGACAGTATGCATGCATGGTTCTTTAAGCAACTTGGGTGGAAGTGAAGGTGAAGTGCTTTGGAATCTGTTAATTCAAAAGCTAGCTCTCATCATGCCAGAGATACATGAGAGGATTTTGAATAAAAATTTCATAAAATGTGATCATGGAAAAAATTACTAAATTAACATATTTAAAGTAATGATTTCAAATATCAATGTAAAACTAAGTTTAATTTATAACTATACATTTGATTATTTAACCTGCATCCTAAAACATTTATATATGCAAGTTAGACAAAAAAAATGTGTTTGAATTTCCCCACAGAGAAAAGAAATGTTTATATTGCAGATCCCCTTCAACTCCATAATATACAGTTTATAATTGAACCTTATTTCTGGGTTCGTTGTTATACTCAGTGCAATCTGGTTAAAATGAGACATAAGTGGCAGCTCGGAAAGGAAAACAAAGGTGAGCTGTAATAAAAGGGAAACAGGCAACATGAAGGATGTGTACAGCAAGAGCCTCCGCTCTCAGGTGGCCAGGCCTAGGCCCAACTGTGGTGTTTTGAAGATTGATTTTCAATCGCTTCTGTCCTCAAAGCTGCTGGCACCTGTCTGTTTCTTTTTCAAGCTGCCCCTTCTGGGATTCGCTACATAGGGACTCTGAGCTACAGAAGCTAGCTCTCCTCCTAAGCTACAGAATTTGGTGTTATCACCCTAATCTGTTCTGCACTCTGGTCATTGACTTTGCCTGCCGTGTTAAAAATGGGAGGGAAAAAAATAACACTTCAAAACAAATTTTTAATGTTAATTGGAAAAATGACAAAAATAAATATTCATTAAGCCAGAGAAGATGCAACTCTTTCCAAATACACAATGATATCCAGGAATTCTATAATATGATACATAACTTTTGCCCGCTTACTTATTGAGATTTTCAGTGAGTGAATTGTTTTCTATTTGCTGTTCTTTGTGGTCTTCAGTAAGCTTGCTTGAAGTGTCTTGTAGTTGCTAAGGATAAGACATTCAATGTTAAGGAGTTGAAAAGAATCTGCTCCTCTCTTTGTGCAAACAAAATGAGAATAAAAGTTCTAAAGAACAGTATGAAGTAGGAATAGTTCTGAAGTGGACAGTGAAGTGTATGCTACTGTCGTTTGAACTCAGCCCTGGGTCCTTGGAAACCACACACACTGTAACGTGGGCTAGCCACAGAGTTTACAACTTTGTTGTATGCCAAAGACTTACTGTGTGGTTCTAGCCTGTACTGCAATGCTATAAAAACAGCTTGAGATTTTCAACTTCAATTCTGAGCAGAAATTGGATATTGAATTTAGCTAAATACATAGTATGCTATCCTGTGAAGTATTAATATACAAAAATTGAAAAATGAAACATATACAGAACAAAAACCAAAAACACTAATTCAAGGATAACTATTAGACTGCAATATGCTACGTCAGAACATGACTTAAAAATACATACTAATGTCCCGGCTAGTGTTGCTCAGTGTATTGAGTGCTGGCCTGTGAACCAAAAGGTCGCCAATTCTATTTCTAGTCAGGCTACATGCTGGGTTGTGGGCCAGGTCCCCAGCTGGGGGCGTGGGAGAGGCAACCGATTGATGTGTCTCTCACACATCCATGTTTCTTTCCCTCTCTTTCTCCTTCTCTTCCCATCTCTCTAAAAATTAATAAATAAAATCATTAAAATAATCTATACTAAACCTCAGGAATGTACAGTTGCAAGATATAATCCATCACAGATACCACATCTAGCTTAAACAAATCCAGCAACATTTTCAAGGTCTACTGAAAATAAGGCAGAATGATACCTTCTGCCTTATAGGTACCTTCTGCCAAAGGTACTGAAACCTCACATTCTAGAACGGTTACCACAGTGCCACTCTGCAGAATAAGCCATATGCAAAAAAGGTGCACGGGAAGATATACAAATGTTGAAATCATTATAATCATAGGTGGAGAGTACCTATTATGTGTAGGTGTTACAGAAAGAGCTAATATAATGCAGCAGTCTCGTCAGCTGCAATCACACATACATGATGACCAAATTGGTATAATTTTTGTATCATGAATCACATCTAAGACATAAGTGTGAAAGTAAAGCAAGGAAATTTTTCTTTAACTTCTAAAACTTTCGTGTAAGTAGTATGGTCATTTATTTAAATACATGACCACTTTGCATCACCTGTTCTTCCTCAGGTTTTCCTTTCCATAACGTTTTATCTCTTTTGCACTTTAATTTTCTTTTCACATTCTCCCCCTGTAATTAGCCCCCTACTATTATCTTGAGCCCATCAGCAATATTCCCACACATTTTTCTTAGTGTTGCTGATAGCATTTGGAATCGGGAAAGTGCAGAAAAATGGCTAAAGGACTGCAGATTCTTAGCTGAAGGAGTGTAAAAAAAATTCCCAATGTTTTGTAAATTTGACATTAGGCTTAGCTAAAAAGAATTTCAATGTTATTACCCAAATGAAGTGCAACATAGATCTAACAAGGTAACATGGACAGGAATGTACCTTGAGGGCCACAAAGTCACACGGATGGGCGCCACCATAGGCCCCGTGGATTTGGGACATCATTCGAGCCGTCTTCTCCCAGAATCCAAGCAGTGTTCTCTGCAGAAAAAGGAACGGTGACATGACAGTGCTGCTTCCTCCCCACGATGTTTTCAGAGCTATATTTCGTCCCTAGCGTAGCAGGCGAATAGCTGCCACATAATAATCAGGAACTAAAATCAATTTCCAAGTTAGGGAAACCGGAAAGTGCTGGAAATAGTAGCTCTGCCTAAGACTTGGCTCCTGTGTCTGCATGCACGTGCGCTCTCTGCAAACAGTCCTGGGAGGTGCACTGGAGCCAGCTGCAGAGGAACCGCAGCCGAGAGAATGACACCGGTGGATCAGGATGCCTTCTGAGGAATCCGAGAGCAATGTTAAAAATCACAAGAATACCATATTTGAATTAGGAGTATGTGTAGATCTTTATTTTGGTGGGTATATATAGTCTTATATTAATAGGAGAAAGGTAATATGTGCCACTAAATTTGGTCTTTCATTTAGGGTTCAAGAAACCCTTACCCAAAAATGTGTTCTCAAGCTAATTCAATTAATGGAACAGTTCCCTTGCTGCTTAAAGGTTCCTGTTTAAGGTGAGGGGGATAAATGGAGAGAATAAAGGAGAACTGAACTAACAGCTATCAAGTGCATCCTTTCTTGATTCTTGAATTCCACAGTGTTGAAATGAATTAGGTAGATTTTCTAGAAGCAGCAGTGAATGCCCATCTCCTTTAGTTTATTATTCTTATGTAAATGCAGTTTATTTTCCTATTTTACCATTCACAAATACATGTTAAAATCAGTACCTGCTACTTATTAATATATACCTTATTCACTGTATGCTATTTACGTGTAATTTGGGGTACTAATATAAGTACAAGTGAGACTTTTGAGGTTGAAGTGATATGGATGGCAACCTTGGCAGAATTAAAAAACAAACAAACAAACAAAACCCCCATAGCCTAGAATTAGAAAATGTAGGTTTTTAAGCCCAACATTGCCATTTACTTTAATTCTCTTAGGTTTCACTTTCCTCATCCATAAAATGACAGAAAATATTAAAAATGTTGGGGGCCACAGCATCTTTGCCTCAAATGAAATTATATGGAGGAGTTCAAAGTGGAGTAGCTGTAGGTAAACCAGGGCTCTGGGCCTTACATCCTGCCTCCTCAATATCTCCTCCTCAGCCCTAGACGGTCTCTAGGTCTCTCTTTCCTAGGACACCAAAGAGAATATTGTGAGGCTACTGGAGTAGATGGTCCCCAAGATCTTTTACAGTCTAGAATTCTATAATTTTCTGATTGTCATACCTTCAGTAAGTCAATTTTAGCAAATCAAAGGAATCTGATCAATTATACATTTTTATATGATTTAGACTACTTTTAAAAAGGAATCTCACCACTCATCTTTACTGCAAGGACATGCTGACTATGAAGGGGGGTACCTGGTAGGTAGTGAGAGAATGAGATAACATATTGCAGCGACTAGCTCCAAGCAAGTCTACTTTCTGACAAACATCCATCTTCAACTTGTCAAAAGAAGCTTTGCTATTTCTCACTTGGATCTGTACCTGCAACCACAAAAATGTCACACATTATGAATGTATCATAAAGATCCATGACACATATTTTCAGACACATGATTGTAATAAAGAAGACTAACTCCCTTCCCTGGTATTATTATTTCATGATTAATGGTGAAGATTTTGGCTATTTTTAGTAATTATATGAGACTCTTTCCAGGTATCTTTATGCTGAGAAACTATGCAATGAGAGATGAAAAGTATATAGTTAAGAAGAAAAAACAACACAGATTCCAAATAAAAAGTAACACCTAAAACTACTGATGAATAATAATTAGGTAAGAGTAGAAGGAGAAGGGGGCACATTTTCCAAAAAGTGTGACAACCTTTTGTACTTCAACCAAAGTGTTACTGGTAGACTGCCTGGAGTGCAAGGGACTCTTTGCCCATTGGCAGATGGCAGCAGGGGGAGGTCCTTACATGGAGCAAAAAGCTAGATAGGAAGAGCCCTCCCTACATCCTTCCAGTACCAGATTCAGATAGGACCAGGGGAAGGTAGGCACATGTATAACCGAAGTCAAAATGGCGTGGTGGAGGTGCTGGACCAAAGAGGCCTGTTATCTAGCCTGGAGAAAGAAGGGATTGGTTGGGAGATGGACCCACCCGAAGAGCACTAATGCACCTAGTCTGTGCCACACCCAAACTAATATAATCCCAGGGGAACAAAGAAACTAGCTCTGGATCATGGCTCACTTCCTTGTAACCTGCACCTGCTAGTGCATTCACCTGTTCTCTCCAAGGGCCACTTGGCCTCAGCAGAGTCTCTCTCTCTCTTTCTTGCGCACTTGGTGATGCGCTGACCTGTGCATTTGTGCACTCTCGCAGGAGTACATGGCTTTGTGGCCTTAGTGACTCTTGGCCCACACACAGGCTCTAAGAGGGAGCCTGAAATGAATAGCAGCTGGAAACAAGCTAAGCTCTGGATGGGGACTAGGACCACTTAGCAGCCACCTGTAGGCTCCAAAGGACTGTATTTTAAATTGGAACAGGAGCTCTGGACACCAGTTTTTGTCTTGGCCTTGCTGAGGAGATGCGCTTTGAGATAGGAGCCTGCCATTGTCCCAGATCATGCAGCATCCGAATAAAACCTCTTTCCTTTTATTCATCAGCATCTGCTTCATGAGTTTGGCTTTTGTGGTGACACACAGCTGTATACCCATTTTTGTTTGGTTACAAAAGATCTCCAAGCAGTCAAGAATTTATAATATAACATTTTCTCAAAAACAGTCTGCTCTAACCTGGCTGGATGGCTCAGCTGGTTGGGGCATTGTCCCATACACCAAAAGGGTGCAGGTTTGATTCCCAGTCACAGCACATACCTAGGATGCAGGTTCAGTCCCAGTCAGGGAGCATACAGGAGGCAACCCATCAGTGTTTCTCACATCAATGTCTGTCTGTCTGTCTCTCTCTGTCTGTCTGTCTCTCTCTCCTCTCCCCCACCTCCCCCAATGCCCTCTCTCTTTCTTCCTCTCCCTCTAAAATCAATAAACACATCCTTGGGTGAATATTTTTTAAAAATAGTCTAATCTTAATTAAGTTATTCTGTAGAAGTTCAACAGGTTTGTGCATCAAGAAAAGGAGAAGGATGTATTGTCGTACTTTTCTGAACTTTTCCATTTGCTTTAAGGTGTCTGGGTCCAGTTCTTGGGACACATCTTTCATCCACAGCAGAGCTCCTCTGTACTCTGTGCGCGCCTGCTCCATCCGATTGACCGTCATCAAGGTATCAGAGACTGCCCTGTGACTGAATGTTGTTACTTCTTGCGTAAGTCGAGACAGCGGAGTATACAGGGCCAGTCTAATGGCAGAGAGGTAAAACTCAGAGAGATGTACATCTCATTAAAAAACAAAACAAAGCAAAGATTTAAAACAACCATAAAGCATATCTGCTGTCAAGATAAGTCTATAAATAGGAAATTATTAAGATGCCTCAGAGCTTTAGAAAGCAAGTAAGAATCATACAGACAACTTCCAATTGTTAATAAAGATGTGTCTGTATCTTCCCCTTTTCTTATTTTAGAAAATATATTATTTTTGCAACATTTTGGATGTTAATCCACATATTAATTACTTGTCAAGTAAATGTGCCATTTAAAAAAGAGTTCCATGGGTAAAAGAGATCCTGTATTTATAAAGCATTACCCTATAAATAGAAAGCCTTTTATTTGACAAATTTAGGAAAAGCCTGGGTATAGAAAAGCAGATGAAATACTAGAAGAAATAATGAGGATCAAATTCTTAGCAGCTGAGGACGAGAACAAAAAAACAGAGTTAGGAAACACCAGTTCGACTCAGTTCCTCTGGGCAGCTTCTGACTAAGGGTCTTGTATTGAGTGTCCCACCGCCTTAAAGGTGGACTTTGGCATTGATGTGGGGGTTCAGAAGAAAACTACTTCTGTTATCAATGATCATTACAGGTCTGATAAGGCCTATCTTTATTTTTCTTTGAAAATGAAAATATTTTTGGTTGTATTTAATAATTGTAGGAAATTCTTTGCAGCAGGTATCTTTAAGATAAAAAAACTGCAAAATGATAAAGGCAAAGTATGTAATTAAGAAGAAAAATTTCCTTTGCTGAAAAAGTTCTAATGTACTCATAGTACAATACAGTAGTCAAAAAAGTGAAAAATATATACCTATATATATTCAAATTGTAGCTATGCTATGCCTCTGTTACATTAAACTCCTTAACAAATTCAAACATAGGCCTCAGATACATTTCTAGGAATTAAGCAACTAAAATGGTCAATTTTTAAATAATTATTTAAAATACAAAATAAATGAGTTAGTCATCAAAACAATTACATACTGCAATATATTTCTCTTTTAACCCTCTACTGGAATGATACACTTGGGTGCATATATCGAAACTGTCATGTTGACTACAAACTTAAGAAGGATGCAAAGCCAGGGAAACCTTTGCTTGGCTGAGGAGCAGAGTGCCTTGCCAGTGGCAGCCATCATTTTGCCAGCTTGTGATGTATCTCGTTCTGCTTGAAGCTTTAAAAAGATCCCTAGTTCATTTTCTTCCTCTGATATAACTAGGAAAAAATTACAGTACAGTTGTTTCATTTTTATCATTTCTTTAAAACACACATATAAGTAAAATTCTTACAGAAACAATTATCTATATGCAAGAATTACTGGAGGATGGTGGGGTGGGAAGAAGACATTTTCAAAATGCAATTTCTGAGCTCAATCTCCAAAGATTCTGATTTTTTAGTTCAGAGGATCTGTTTTTATTTTTTATTTATTTATTTACATTTATTTTTAATGTATTTTATTGATTATGCTATTACAGTTGTCCCAATTTCCCCCCTTTATTCCCCCCTACCCTGCACACCCCTCCCAACCACATTCTCCCACCTTAGTTCATGTCTGTGGGTTGTACATATACATTATTTGGCTTCTACATTTCCTATATTATTCTTAACCTCCCCCTGTCTATTTCCTATGTACTATTTATACTACTTATTCCCTGTACCTTTCCTCCCATTCCCCACCTCCTCTTTCCCACTGATAACCCTCCATTTGATCTCCATTATGTGATTCTGTTCCTGTTCTAGTTGTTTGCTTAGTTCCTTTTTGTTTTAGGTTTGGTTGTTGATAGTTGTGAGTTTATGGTTATTTTACTGTTCATAGTTTTGATCATCTTCTTTTTCTTAGATAAGTCCCTTTAACATTTCATATAATAAGAGCTCGGTGATGATGAACTCCTTAAACTTGACCTTCACTGGGAAGTACTTTATCTGCTCTTCCATTCTAAATGATAGGTTTGCTGCATAGAGTAATCTTGGATGTAGGTCCTTCCCTTTCATGACTTGGAATACTTCTTTCCAGCCCGTTATTGCCTGCAAGGTTTCTTCTGAGAAATCAGCTGACAGTCTTATGGCCACTCCTATGTACCTGTCTCCTTTCCTCTTGCTGCTTCTAAGATTCTCTCCTTATCTTTAATCTTGGCTAATGTAATTATGATGTGCCTTGGTGTGTGCTTCCTTGGGCCCAACTTCTTTGGGACTCTCTGAGCTTCCTGGACTTCCTGGAAGTCTATTTCCTTCACTGGATTGGGGAGGTTCTCCTTCATTATGTTTTCAAATAAGTTTTCAATTTCTTGTTCTTCCTCTTCTTCTGGCACCCCTATGATTCAGATGTTGGAACATTTAAAGTTGTCCTGGAGGTTCCTAAGCCTCTCCTCAGTTTTTTGAATTCTTATTTCTTCATTCTGTTCTGGTTGAATGTTTATTTCTTCTTTCTGGTCCAAACCATTGATTTGAGTTCTGGTTTCCTTCCTGTCACTGCTGGCTTTCTATACATTTTCCTTTATTTCACTTTTCATAGCCCTCACTTTTTCCTCTATTTTGTGACTGTACTCAACCAATTCCTTGAGCATCCTGATTACCAGTGTTTTGAACTCTGCATCTGATAAGTTGGCTATCTTTTCATCACTTAGTTGAATTTGCTCTGGAGCTTTGATCTGTTCTTTCATTTGGGCCTTTTTTTTTTTTGTCTCAGTGCACCTGTTACTAGTAAGGGGCGGAGCCTTAGGTATTCAGCAGAGCCTGGCAATCACATCTCCGTGTTGTGGCGCTGTAGGTGGGGGAGGGGCCCAAGAAGGAACAATGCCTTCTTATTCAGCTCTCTTCAGTCACTTCCTCCCCTACCCACAAGTAAGTTGGGCCTTTCTGCTGCTGATTTCCCGGTATGTGGGTTTGTGTATGTTCTAGGACCCTGTGGGTCTCTCCAACAAGCTCGCCTGTGAGGCTGGGAGTCTCTCCTGCAGCCCACCACAGGTTTTTTCACTCAAGGTTTTGAGGTTTTATTTCCCTATGCTGGAACCCTGGGTTGCTCAGTCTGTCTTGCTCCCCAGTTGTTCCTCCCAGTTTCTCTGCATGCAAATGTGTAACCACCTGCTCTGCCTGCTGCCACCTCACTCAGTCCACCAGCTGCTGCCTTGCTGTGAGTCCTCTCCACCCACCTGCCCATCTCTGCCCCTCCTAACAGTCTGGATGACTGTTTCTTCTTGAACTCCTTGGTTGTCAAATTTTCATACAGTTCAATTTTCTGGCAGTTCTGGTTTCTTTTTGTTTTTAAATTGGTTATTGTCCTTTTGATTGTGTGAGAAGGCACAGTGTATCTATCTATGCCTCCTATTTAGTCTTTTAAATAGGCATTTCTGATGGTTTGGATGCAGTGAATCCATGGAACTTGCTCTAGGAAAAATTGATCTTTATTTAAAAAAACAAAAATGACAAATAATACCACAAATGATGCATTTTCAAATGTGCGGAGATGCATTTTAGGATTTGCCTCTTACAAAGTAGTCATTTCCTCTTAAATTTAACTTATTCTTTTCTTTAAAGATTTTATTTATTTATTTTTCAGAGAGGAGGAAGGAAGGGAGAAAAAGAGTGAGAGAAACATTGATATGCAAGAGAAATATGAACCAGTTGCCTCTTGCATGCCCCCAGTTGGGGATCTGGCCTCTATCCCAGGCATGTGCCTGACAGGGAATCAAACTGGCAACCTTTCAGTTTGCAGGCTGGCACTCTATCCACTGAGCCACATCAGTCAGGGCTAAATTTACCTTATAATTGACTCCCATCCTGGCTAAGTTTCCTGCGCTCAGTACCCCAGATCCACAGATGTCCACGATTTTGCTGCTGAAATCCTAAAATTTGTTGTGCAGCACCTTACTATTCAAAGTGTGGGCCACGAACCAATGTCAGTCCAGAACCACTTGTTACAAGCCTATGGCAAGTACCAAAACTTAAGAAATGTTTTAGAAACTTTTACTAGTATGACCAAGTATTTTATTTTTTAAAATATATCGTATTGATTATGCTATTACAGTTGTCCTAATTTTTCCCCTTTTGCCCCATGCCCAGTATACCCATTCCCTCCAGCAATCCCCACCCCCTTAGTTCATATCCATAAATCATGCATATAAGTTCTTTTGCTTCTCCAATTCCTATACTGTTCTTAACATCCTCATGTCTATTTTGTATCTACCAATTTGTACTTCTTAATTTCTGCACCTTTTCCCTCGTTCTCCCCCTCCCCCCTCCCAAATGATAACCCTCCAAATGATCTCCATATGTATGATTCTGTTCTTGTTCTGCTTGTTTGCTTATTTTGTTTTTCAGATTCAATTATTGATAGTTGTGAATTTGTTGCCATTTTAATGTTCATAGTTTTGATCTTCTTTTTCTTAGATAAGTCCCTTTAACATTTCATATAATAAGGGCTTGGTGATGATGAACTCCTTTAGTTATACCCTGTCTGAGAAGAACTTTATTTGCCCTTCCATTCTAAATGATAGCTTTGCCAGATAGAGTAATCAAGGTTGTAGGTCCTTGCTTTTCATCACTTTGAACACTTCCTTTTCTTTAAGATTTTATTTATTTATTTTTAGAGAGAAGGTCAGGGAGAAAGAGAGGGAAAGAAATATGGATGTGAGAGAGAAACATCAATTGGTTGCCTCTTATACATGCCCTGACCAGGGACTGAACCCACAACCCAGGCACATGCCCTGATGGGGAATCCAAATGGTGACCTTCCACTTTGTGGGACAACACCAAACCAACTGAGCCAGACAGGTCAAGGCTGATTACAGTGTTTTGAGATTAATTTACATTCCTCAGAAGAAAAATCATTAATTGAGCAAATATTTACTGAGTACAAACTACATGTTAAACATTATTTCTAGACTTTGAGGACACAGATATAAACAAAACAAATTCCTGTCCATAAGGAGAATATATTATAGTGGTGGTAAGAAAAACATTGATAAAATATATAAAATGTTGAATATTGCTGAGTAGTCAAGAAAGTTATGAGAAAGAAGGATATTTCATTTTAGATATGGGGGTCTCACTAAAAAGATGATATTTGACCAAACCCTAAAGGATTTTAGAGAGCCTGCTGTGCAGATATGCATAACAGGAAAATGAGTATGGCTAACAAGGAGAGAGTTTTAAGAAATGAGTGGTAACCAGGTTCGGAGAGGTGGCCACATGCAGTAGGCCTTTGCAACTAAAGAGAGAGAAGAGATCCAAAAATTTATCCAGCTTGAAGAGGTTGAAAAGAGAGAAGAACCCAGCAAGCAAAGGCAGGATACTGAGAAGGAATGACCAGTAGGAAGAAGTCCAGGAAAGTATGGTGCCTGGGAGCCAAGCCAAGAGAAGGAGAGAATAATCAACTGTGTTAAGTAATGGGATGAATCAAGTAAGGATGGAGAACTGGTCATTGGGTTCAGCTCTTCATGATTATGACAAGAGCAATTTGGTGGAGTGATGGGGATGAAAACTTAACTGGAGTGAGTACAAAGGAAAGTGGAAGGACAGGAATAAAGACTGTGCATATAGCCCTGGCCAGGTTGCTCAGTTGGTCAGAATGTCATCCTGACATGCTGCAGTCATGGGTTCCATCCCTGGTCCAGGCATGTACAAGAAATCAACCAATGAATGCATAAATGAATGGAAAAACAAATTGTTTTTCCCTCTTTCTCTCTATAAAATCAATTTTTAAAAAATACTGTGCTTACAGAAAATTATGTCAAAATTTTCTGTTAAAGGAACAGAGGAATGGCATGGCAACTGCAAGGGTAAGTGGGGGGTCAAGAGAGAGTTTTTAAGGGATGGAAGCAAATCCAATCAAGATTATGGGCAATGAAACTGAACTTAGCAAAATGAATCTGTCAGAGGATACTGGGAACTTTGAGAATAGGTCACTGTAAATATTCATATATTATCATAAGAAACTACTCACAAAACAGTTCAATAAACTATTTTTATATTAAACATTTCATTCAAATATTTACATTAAATCGGAATTATAGGACATATATCTGTGATTTCATACCATTGAGTCTTAGCTGATATTTCTCAACTATCTTCAGGAGTTCAGTGCATGTCTCTTGAATGGAGTGAAAAACCTTTGAAATATAAATTTTATTAGGACAATTTATAGAACCATAAACAAATACAAAGTATCTGTTATACATACTTCAAAAGCAGAACATTTTCTTGTATGTATTATGTCTATTTTTTCCTGGACTGTGATGTACTTCAATTTTGGTTTTATTTCTGATATAGAAAGCACATTTAGATTTCACTCATGATGTTTGGAAAAAATTGTGATAAATACATGTGAGCTAATAAAAATTTATAATTGTGGAGTTTTGTCCTCTCCTCAGCTTCAAGCTGTCTAAAGAGCAAAAGGGTAACTCCAACATAAACTGCATCAAGCAGTGCCAACCACAGATGAAGAGTATAGATAACCTTAGAAAATGTCAACTCTGACTCTGGCTTTTCTCCAATATTGGTCTAAGCAAAAGAGGTCAGTGAACTCACCATAAAAATTAAATAATGTATTACAATATCAAAAATAAGTTACCTGTAAATTATTTTTGTTTAAACATTTCCATGTAATTCCTGTATTACTACTATTGCTAATAGCTAATAGAAAAATCAATGATCTAATACAGTCCCATTTCAAAGTAAGAACATGAAAACTTGAGATTAGGACACATATACATGAGTTAGGTCTTCACACATATCTATAAATTTAAGTTTTCCCAGAGAAATGGCTGGTATAGGTTTTAGGGTTCAGGCCTTCTTCTAACAAACTCCTATGCTGAAGAATTGCTATAAAACTTTAGTTCAAAAAGACCCTGGCACTGTGATATATTAAGTCCTAATCCTATGATTATCAAATAAATTTTCTGCCCTGGCTGATATGGCTCAGTGGATTGAGCACTGGATTGCAAACCAAGGGGTTGCTGGTTCCATTCCCAGTCAGGGCACATGCCTGGGTTGTGGGCCAAGTCCCCAGTAGGGGGCACTCAAGAGACAACCACACACTGATGTTTCTCTCCCTTTCTTTCTCCCTTCCCCTCTCTAAAAATAAATAAATAAAATCTTTAAATAAATAAATAAACAAACAAATAAATACATTTTCCAATATCACCATTAAGCCTGCTCATCCCATCTCTGAAGCACTTTTGCTACTACTTTGATGTTTGGTTAGGACTAAGGAAGACTGATAACAGACACTAAAATCTAAATGGAGAGCAACCATCAATTTTCCATGTAAGTTTTATATGTTTCAACTGAACTTGGTATGTACATTTGGCAACTTAAAAAGCTGTTTTAAATCCATATGGAAGTAGACTAGAGAAGAATACAAAAAATGATAGTAATACTATGAGAAAGTGATTATGGTTGATTTTTCCCATGGTCCTTGAAAGATTTATATGCTATTGCTATTAATTTATACAATGGAAATATTTTTTTTAGTTTTAGTGAAGTATAATTTCACAAGTATGATTTTATTTATTTAACAAAGATTTTATTTATTCATTTTTAGAGATCAGGGAAGGGAGGGAAAAAGAGAAAAAAGAAATATCAATGTGCATTTAAAGTGTATAACGTAATGACTGATATAAGCATACAAACAATGAAAATATTTCTCATTCTTAAAAAAATAGTACAAATGTGGGAGAAAGTTCTTGGTTGATTCAAAATATTTGTCTAATGAACAAGCATAACACTAAAATATAAAATATGTTACCTATAGATTGCCTAGTGATGTAAAACAATACAAAAATATCTACTTCTGGGGAATATGGGAGGACACAGTGAAAAGTTCCCTTAGTGTTAAAACATAAAATACTTATTTTAAAATACTTAAAATAAAGTCCCTTTATGTCCCCAACATTTGTCATTGAATCCTAAGAGGAATACTTTCAAATAATTTATCTATTTCCATATGTGTTAGGGCAATGACACAGTTTACTTACTATGAATGAAAATACTTAGTACATTAAGCCGTATTTAATTAGACCTTTATTTTTAAAAATTTTTTACCCTCACCTGTGAACATTTTTTCATTGCTTTTAGAGAAAGAGGAAGGGAGAGGGAAAAGGAGAGAAAGAAACACTGATATAAGAGAGAAATATTGATTGGCTGCCCCCATAGGCACCACAACTGGAGATCAAACCTGCAACCCAAGCATATGCTGTGACGGGAATCAAATATGCAACTCTTCGGTCCTTGGGATGATGCTCCAACCAACTGGGCCACACCAACCAGGGTGACCTTTATTTTTAAGAATCCCAACAAATGATTATATTTCAAGCATAGCAGAGCATCTGCTTGGAATCATTTGTACAAGTTATCTTAAATTAGTACATGTACATATAATCAGTAAATCTGCATTTAAATATCCAGACCTTTGCCCTGGCCAAGTGGTTCAGTTTGTTGGAGCGTCATTCCATACACCTAAAGGTTGCAGGTTCAATCCCCGGTCAGGGAGTGTATAAGAGGCAACCAATTGATGTTTCTTTCTCTCTTTTTCGCTCCCTTCTTCTCTCTCTAAAAATCAATAAACATGTACTTAGGTTAGGATTTAATTAATTAAAATCCAGACCTTTCATTAATATACATGAGACCTTTCCTCTAATTACCTTAATTACTTATAAGTTTAAAGTTGTTTCATGGTAATTATTCCTTTTAATTAAGATGAAAAACAGCCAAAAATGCATTATGAAATACTTCAATAACTCTATCTCTTAATAATTGAAAAAAATTCTAACTTATTTCTGTGAGATGTAAAGCTTCACACAAATGTAGTAAAACTATTATGACATGATATATAATGAATATATGGTATCAGTTAGGAAAATAAGTAATTCATTAACATTTAGCTTAAAAACTATATTACTTATACCAGAGAAATTAATTCATGACTTATCTAATTTATGAACACCAGTTCTGTCAGTTCTCAATTTTTGAGAATTACAACCTCTTATCCAGAAGATCTAATAGATGGATATAGTTTATTATCAAATTTGCATTTATCCCAATAAGTTCTTCAGTGTAAAATCCTGTCATAATCCTCCTTGTAGTCCCAAGTAATAACCACTAATATGAAAACACAGAATCTTCACATTTACCTCAAGTTTAGCATCCAGTTCTGCATCAGATGCTACCACATGTTCATCCTCCTTCTTTCCTGTGGCTTTGATGAAGATCTGTTTAGTTCTCCAATATTTTTTTTGCATTCTGCTAACCACGGACTGGTCATCTTCTGCTCTAGGCTGCCCAAAGGAATCCATGGAGTGACTATAAGGAACAGACTAAAAGTTATGCTAAGTGAAATAAGCCAGTCAGAAAAGGACAAATACAATATCATTTCACTCATACATGGAATCTAATGAGCAAACGGAACTACCAAGCACACTAGAGACAGACTTAGATAGATAGCAAGCTGATAGCTCTAGGGGGCAGGGGTAGTTAGTGGGAAGAGGGATGGAGCAAAAAGGAAAAAGGACTCCTGGACATTGACAACAGTGTGGTGATTGCTGGGGAGAGGGAGACATAAGGAGGATAAATGGTAATGGAAAAACACAATAAAAAATATTTCCAATAATAAATATCTGCTTAGTCAATATTTAATCTAATTAAAAACTAAAAAGCTATGCACCCCGATGTTCATAGCAGCACAATTTACAATAGCTAGGTGCTGGAAGCAACCTAGATACCCATCAATAAATGAATGGATCAAAAAATTATGGTACATTTACACAATGAAATTCTATGCAACAGAAAGAAAGAAGGACCTCCTACCCTTTGCAACAGCTTGGATGGAGCTGGAAAGCATTATGCTAAGTGAAATAAGCCAGGCCATGAAAGACAAATACCATATGACCTCACCTTTAACAGGAACCTAAACAACAAAACAAAGAAACAAGCAAAATATAACCAAAGACACTGAAAAAGAGGACAGGCTGACAATGACCTGAGGGGAGAAAAGAGGGAACTTCAGGAGAGAATGGGAAGGGTTTACAGGAACAAATTTAAAGAACACATGGACAAAAGCTAGGGGGAGGGTGGTAATGGGAGGAAAGTGGGGAGGGTTGGGTGGGTGGGCTGGAATGGAAGTAAAAGGGAGAAAACTGTACTTGAACAATGATTAAAATAAAAAAAACAAAATAAAATAAAAAGATGCTAAATAGTATATTAATGTTAATAGCTAAACATGCTAATATTTGCTTTATATGATATACTAGTAATAATTATAACCTGCACAAGTAACAGGCAAAAAGATTAATGATAATTAATTTCAGTTAGGTGACAAAGGTAATAAAACTGTTAATGACTTTGCAATAATGGCTGGAAATAATTTTATTTTACCTGACCAATTTCTATTTGTAGACATTTATTAGTTTCTAATTTTTGCTTTTGTAATAATACTGCAAAATGAATATGTATACATTGAAATGAATGTGTATACATGCAAAGATGTATACACATCTTTGCATACCACTATCATTTCCTTAGGAAAACTTCCTGTAGTTATAACTGCTATGTCAAAAGAATACACATTTAATAAATATTCTCAGATATGCAAAATTCAAATACACTCTCTTTAAAAATCACTCAAAGAAATACTTTAGTATCCAAAAAATAAAGTCTTAGGTATAGGGGAAATCTGTTATAAAGAAATAGAGATAGAAATTGTAACCTATAAGCTTAAAAATTGTCAAAGTGATTGTTCTTAACAAGGTTAACATGACTATATAAGGAAAGGCAATTGTGAAAAGTATTCCTTAAGGAGAAGTAAAAGAATGAAATAATACTAGTTTTAAAAGCCCAAATTACTCTAATCAATGGGAGATAGGAACAAAGGGAAGTACTGCAGTGTGTGAGTCATTCATCATTTCCAGGGGAATCAATAGATACTAACGTATTCTCAATGTTGCTAAAGAGATAGAGATTCATTTTCTTTTTATTTTAAAGTAACTACTAATTAAATAAAAATAGAATGTCTAATTTATAAATTACTGAGGGCTAAACAAGAAAAACAGCAGAAGGGTGGAAAAAACAGGAGTAATGCAACATAAAAAACAGTATAAACTCAGATGACAGAGTAAAAACAATTATACATTTTAGTATGATAAATGCAAACTTCCTCTTAAACACAAAGAACCTCAAATCATAGAAAGCAGAAAACTACATCCAATGGCATGCTGGTTGAGAGCCATCTAAAATGGCAAATGGCATTACGCTGTTATAATGCATTAGACACAGCAAATAGCATTATACTGTTCTGACACAGTCTTGAGGAAAAACTTGCAGTTCATCTTTCTGCTTCAATTTCTTTCCTCCTTTGGTTGCTCTTGACTTGCTTTTGTTTAGTCTCCCTGCCCCTAGATTGTTATTAGTATGAGGGTCAGTCGAGTTGTATGACAAAGTACTGATCTCTTCTACTATGTTGACTGCAGGCTTAGCCCAATCAGTTACAAGAACAAAACCCAGGGAGTATCAGGAGAGAACATCTATTCTCTGCCTCGACTTCCATGCTGCTGTAGCTCAAATAGTACTCTCCTGGCTTCTTTCCACTTCCTCACCATCTGCTTCATGGGGGAACAGAGTAAGTTATCTGACTGGATTTGAGAGTAATAAACTTATGCTTCTTTTTCCTCTCTGGAAGCTATCCTACCTGCAGAGTGCACACCATTCCTAGCAAGAGGAGGACAGTAGCTGGGTGGGTAAATCTGCAAAAAATGAGATTTGCACAATTTGGGTTTTTGACTGAGGGCAGTGCTAAATCTGCTTCCACTGTGGGTAGGTTGAGCAGAAAGCCAAATGGTGTGAGATATGAGATGATAGAGTTCAAGGCTAGAAACTACCAGAAATTTAGGAAAAATATTCTGGAAGGGGGGCAGCCAAAGAGGAGGGGATCCCCAAAATCTACATACAAAATCCTCCCAAGATCTGTGCCGATCATGAGGTGAAGGAGGGGATCCCAAGGGTCCTGGCAGAAAATTAGCCACTGAAAACTGAAGTGATACCTGGAAAAACAAAACTATAATACAAGGCCACTGTAATCAAAACAGCCTGGTACTGGCATAAGAACAGGCACAAAGATCAATGGAACAGAATAGAGAGCCCAGAAATAAACCCATGTCTCTGTGGTCAATTAATATTTGACAAAGGACTCACGAACATACAATGGAGAAAAACAGCCTTTTCAATAAATGGTGTTGTGAGAACTGGACTGGTACATGCCAAAAAAAAAATGAAACTTGACCACCAACTTAAACCATATACCAGAATAAACTCAAAATGGATAAAAGACAAGTATAAGCCATGAAGCCTACTGAAATTATTAGGGACTTTGATACTGATATCAAAGACAGACTATCAGTCATGGATTGAGAACCTGCCCCTAAGGAAAAAGGACCATGGACAACAGTGAGGTGACTGCTGGAGGGAAGGGGTTATAAGGGTACTAAGTGGTAATGGGAAAAAATACAATAAAGATTAAATTTAAAAAAAAGAGAATCTGCTCCTCAAACTGCTCTAAAGGACATATTATATAAATTATCAGCTGTAATATTAGGCTAGAATCACATCCAGGTTATAAACATGAATCCTTTCAGATAGGTGACCTTAATTGTTGTTAAGCTAAACATGGTTTGGTTACTGAGTTGTTACTGAGATACTCAAACCATTACAGGACTAGAGTAGTTAAACTTTAAAAATGCACTGAGACAGTAGAACTAGTGCAGAACTAAATTAGCTGAAATTTCCAAACAGTCCCAGTAAGAAAGTCAGTTTCATGCACATATTAAATAAATGCCAACTTTGTCTTAAGTGCTATACTTGGTACTATAATCATGTACCAATAAGACACCGATACAATAAAATTAAATTAAATACACACCTGTGTTTATCTACAACAGAAAGACTATGGCAATTACCACCATCCTATTATAGATCTGAAAATCTTCTACTACACAGGTAAGTTGCCTGCAGAGTGGTTACCACCTTGACCTATTATTCTCATAAAAGTACTAAAGCTTAATCATTTTTCAAAAAGAATTCAAATGTACATGAAAGGTAAAGTCTTAGAGAAGCCTTAAAATATTTAAAAGTTCCTAATAATCTTAGTACTACTACTTGCTAACATAATTATATTATACTTGTAGTACCCTTGATAGTTTTGAAAACATTTTTACACATTTTATTTCCCTTGATCCTTATGATAACCCTGAAAGCTAGAAATGGCAGATTTTATTATTCCAGTTTTATAGAAGACATTGCTGAGGTTCTGTAAAATTAAGGTAAATTTCTCGAGGATACACATACATTAAGAACATCTTGATACTTAGCACACAGCCAGGTCTTCTGACTCCACAGGCATATTCTTTTTCATTTTGAAGGTGGTAAAAGTATGATTAAAGTTGTCTTCTGTTTTATAGTCAGTTTACTTAAACATACAGTATTAGTTTTCTAATTTTAACCCATAGGTTTTTTAGAATTAGGCACATAAAAAAGGTGTTACTTATAAGAATAAAAACAATAAAGAAAAGTCATTAAGAAAGCTAATGTCTACATTGCAAACCACATTTGAATTTCTCATTAAAATAAGATTGATTTTTACATAAGTAAGTCTATAATTTAATAGTCAGCATAATTTTAGTCTGTAAAGAAGAAGCTGTATAAAGAAAACAAATTAGATCTTTTTTTCCCAAAATTATATGGCTTAATTATATGGTTATGGATTATCAACTACTTTTCAGACTTTCTGACAGATTTAAGAATTTACTATGGAAATATAATTAATTTACTTATACCACTTTAGTCATATTATTTCATGAAGAATACAAAGCCTATCTAGAAGGTATCTAGTCACTATAATATGAAAAATAGAGACATTTATTGAGGAAGATACAAGATACAAGAAACATTGTACATAGGAAAATGATGCCTCAGTCCCCTTCAAAGTAGGCACCTTGCAACTTCACATAGTTCTCCTAATGGCCATCAGCTTCCCTGTAGCATTTTCCTTGAATCTCATCAACAGTTCAAATTCTCTCTCCTTTCAAAGGTGATTTTAGTTTTGGGAAAAGCCAGAAGTCACAGGGCACCAAATCCAGTCTGTAGAGGGGCTAAGTCATCTGGGTGATTTATAATTCATCAAAAAACTCTGCATGATGCATGAGCTGGCGTGTTGTGATGAAGCTGCCAATCACCAGTTGCTCATAGCTGCAGCCTTCTGTATCATCTGAATAGTTTCCATGGAGAAATGTTCAAGCTTAATGCAAAATTCGATGCACATTTGTTGCTCTACTCACTCAGTCACTTTGAATGTGATAGCCACACAGTACACAGGCTCACTCAACTGTGTCTGCTGTCCCCACTGACCAGTACAGTAAAGTCATCATTGTTTATGCATGCTCATTCCAGTCCACTCTCCTTGGCTGCCAGGTTACATTGATGTCACACAAACCATTCTTACTATATTAACAATGGTTGGACTTTTTCCAGACAGACCTCATATATGAGTAGCACATAAAATAGATTATTAAAAAATAAGACTTGAAAAATGTTGAAGAAAATTAGTAAGACCATTCAAAATATAAACAACATATTAGTAACTTGATAGGTGTGGTTCAGTGGGCTGGGTGTCATTCCTCAAACCAAAACATTGCAGGTTCGATTCCCTGTTAGGACACATGCCTGGGTTGCAGGCTTGATCCCTGGTTGTGGGTGTGTGCGAGACAACCAGTTGATGTCTTTCTCTCACAACATCAGTGTTTCTCTCCCTCTTTTCTTCCTCCCTTCCCCCGTCTCTAAAAATAAATAAATACAATCTTTTTAAAAATCCTTTAAAATGTTTTTTAAAAATGTATTGGGAAGTAAACTAGAGAAGAAAATATTATATTATCTTTTTGAAAGTGGCTGAAAAACTGTATTTCAAATGTTTTTGATACTTTAAAGTAGCAAATACTAAATACTTATGTTAAAATGATATTGAAACTAATTCCCCATGAAACTTTAGAATATCTCCAACTTTATTGCAAATTTCAGGCCAGTGCCTCTCCCAGTCCTCTGCCATACCCAATGTACCCAAGTTCAAAGCCAGTCATATTTTTAGGATCAAATGCGATAGTGTGCAAAATTGCTCTGAAAAATATAAAGTCATATACAAGATACTATTTTTTAATTGTATTACTTATGGCCTACAAATAAGTAAGAATGTATAGGCTATAAATTTTAAAATCTAAGGCTCAATATTGAGAATAACCTAGAAGAGAAAGAACTTGCCCTTTCAGATATTTAAGTACATTACAAGAGTATCCTATTGAAAATGTGGATTGACCACATGCACTTACCAGATTTTCCTTCTCAAACCCACTAAAATAACAGTAAAGGTAAAAAGTAATCAAAACACTAAAAGTACAGACAGAATAAATATACTGAAGTATACTGACAAAAGCAAATGAAAGACTTCAATAACTTTTTGAAGACAGTACATGAAGTAGTAACCTAAGGAACTAATACAGAAATGCTTATAAGTGAGTCATTACTCCTTGGAATATCTGAAAGACTCACTATTTGGAAGTGGAAGGAGGATTCATTGACGTTTGCATAAAGCTGGCTGGAACCTGAGGCCCTTCCCAAATCTGTGTCACTCAATGGAGGTTGAAGAGATTGAATGGGGAAAGCTCTGGACTTGGCACACCAACACAGCGGAGGGCTTGGCCTGAAAACAAAATGACTAAGTGAAAGTCTAACATCTAGCTCTTTTTTTGCTCACTAGTAGCAAAGCATTCACACACACGTGCACACACACACATACACCCCCTACACCTACACTTCTCAGAAAACACTGGAACATTCTTTTCTCTGAAAAATACTAAAAGCTCCAGAGGAAAGGAGTATGTCCTTTGGACATTCTAAATAGTGATTTCCAACATTTTTCATCTCAGGGCATACATAAACTAATTACTAATATTCTGTTGCACACCAAAAAAATATATTTTCTGCCAGTCTGACAAAAAAATATAGTTTTGATTCATTCACACCAGATGGCTGTAGTTGTGTTGGATGTTGTCATTTTCTTATTTGACCGTCTAAGGAAAAAGAGGTCAGTGCCCCTAAATAAATAGTCAGGTATTGAATGTTTAAAATTTTTTGCAGCACACAAGTTGAAATTTGCTGTTCTAAAAGGGTGAGTTCTTGCCCTGGACAGTGTGGCTCACTTGGTTGGAGCATTGTTCTGTAATGTCACTGCTCCAAGCAAGTGGGTTCAACTCCTGGTCAGAGTATATGCCTGCGTTGTAGGTTTGGTCCTGGCCGGGGTACATACGAGAGGCAACCAATCAATGTTTCTCGAATCCATGTTTCTCTCCCTCTCTCCCCCTTGGGTGAAGATAAGAAATAGCAAAAATAAAATAAAAATAAATGGATGAATCCTTGCCTATTCACAGTAGAGTAAAACTCACCAATAAACAGGCTCACTCATACACACAAAGCTTCCAATCAGCTTTTTATAGTCTTATATTGAGACCCAAAGATCACCAAATATCTGAGGAAAGACTCCGTCAAGAAAGACTTCTGAACTAAACCAACAAATAGAAGAAATAATAGTTGAAAGGAAACAAATACAATATAGGGAGCAAAACAAAACATAACCCTCTAACTAATATCCTCAGAGGGATAAGTCAAGACACTGCTTCTGGTGGGGAGGGGACAGATTATCACTTAGAAAGCAATAAAAAAAGAATAAGAAAGAACCTTTGGGCAAAAAAATAGTATAGCTGACATTTAAAAAATTTAAATAAAAGAGTTGAAAAATAAAAAAAAAAACTTCTCAGAAAGTAGGACCATAAAAAGGGTAAGAGAATAAGAGATGATCAAGGAAGTCCCATATTTGACTAAAGATTATTCTAAAGATTGCCTAGGGGAAGAAGTAATTGAAATAACTAAAGGACACATCTTTATATAAAAAGATCATGAAAGTTTTAAGAGAAAAAGATCACAAACAGAGCTTTGGGAGTCCAAATAAAAGCAGATTTCTCCGACAGAAGACAAAAACCAGCCCGAAAGAGCAAAGAAAAGAAGGCGCAAGATGACAGCTGCGCAGAGCAAGCTGCCCGCATGCAGGCAGAAGATGAAAGAATCTGGAAAGGAGCGCTCCAGGAAACATAACTGATATGTTTGAGCACATCACTCGCAGTCACATGGCAGAAATGTTAGAACAGTAAGGAAAAATGGTATTCAGAAAATTAGTAAGTTATAGTAACTTCAACAAAAGTGAAGAGATAGGATGTTCAAAAAAGAAGGAATGGTTATAGGGCACTATTGACTAGGCTGTTTCAATACTTAATAGTTCGCAGTAACATAAACATTTGATTTAATAAAAACTATAATATAGCTATTTGGGGAAGGACATGTGGAGACCGTGGTGGAGAAGGACAGCTAAGTCCTCATTTACCATACAGAAAGTAGGTAGGTGATGCCTTAAGTTAATAAATCAAAGAGCAGCAAATAAGCATTATGTATAAGAATAGCAGAAATTAAGAAGAAACAAAAGGCTTAACGGTAGGTGCCACTGGAGATTGGAATTGGGACACGAATGCTTTTGTGCATTATAATCCTTTAATATATGACTTTAAAAGTCATGTATATGTACAAATTTAATAAAATAATGACAATTTTAAAAAATCTACCTGAATATGAACCTTACTCATTAAAATAGAATGATACACCAAAACAGATAGAGCAGTGAAATAAGTGGAAAAAAATCCACAGAGACCAAAAGAATATAAAAGAATATAGTATATGATCAAGTTATACTACAAATTACCACAAATTGGTAGTTTAAAACAACCACCAATGTAAGAATGTAGTCTTTCACACTCCTGGAAGTCAGAAGTCTGAAATCAGGTGTTAGCAGGGCTACGCTCCCTGGGAGGCTCTGGGGAGAAAACTTCTTTCCCTCTTCCATCTCCTGGTGCTGCTGGTTGCCCTTGTGTAGTGGTGACGTAACTCCAATCTCTGCCTCTGTGTTCACTTCACCTCCTCCTTCTCCTCTGTGCCTCTATTTAACCTCCCTCTGCCTCTGTCCAAAATGAGGACACCCCCCAGTTGGCATTTAGGACCCTCCCAGTTAATCCAGAATAATCTTATGTCAAGATCCTCACCTCAATTATACCTACAAAAACTTTACCACACAAAGTAACATTCACAGACTTCAGGAATTAGGACCTATTATCTTTGGGGGTCACATTCAACTCACTACAACCAATGAAGAATGTCAGATCAGTAGGAAAGGGCAATATTATTCCATATATATTATTTGGACAACTATCTATTCGAAAAAAATGTTTGATTCTTAGTCAATGTAAGGATGGTTCAAAATTTAATTATTAAAACCTTACAACATTACCATGTGAAAATATAGATGAATGATTTATAATTTAGGATCAAGAACCTTTCTAACATGGTAACTAACACACGTGAAAATCATTTAGATAGTAGAAATTTTAAATTTATATAACAAAATTGACCATAAGCAAAATCTGAAAAATAACTGGGTAAGTAAGACATGTGGGAAAAAATTCAATATTTTTATGTTAGAGAATTCATAACTATATAGTGAAAATACAAATTTACCAACTGAAAAATGAGGGCAGCCCTGGCTGGTGTGTCTCAGTTGATTGAGTGCTGGCCTGTGAACCAATGGGTCGCCAGTTTGATTCCCAGTCAGGGCACACGCCTGGGTTGTGGGTCAGGTCCCCAGTGGGGAGTATGCAAGAGGCAAGCATGCACTGATGTTCTCTCTCTCTCTCTCTCTCTCTCCCCCACTCCATCCCCACCCCCATTTAAAAATAATAAAATCTTAAAAAAAAGGACAAAACAAGAATAGGCAATTTATACACACAAACACTTCAAAAGTCCAGCGAATATACAAAAATGTTATTTAATCTCTTTTGTAACTAAATATGTACAAATGCACAAATGAAAAAAAACCACTTTCATCTGTCAGATGAGTAGTGATTAAAAATGTTAATAGCTTGTGGGAAAGATGAGGGAATGAGTGCATGTTTGCATAATTCCTTCCCCTGACCAAAATTAGAGAAGGAAACTCCTATGCACACTGGCTACACCTGTTAGCACTACTGCCAATGAATCAATGTCAGTACAATGAAATTTGAAGCATAAAGAGGATGTCCAGTCATGACAAGGTAGTTTAGTTGGTTAGAATGTCATGCCAATACGCCAAGGTTGAGGGTTTGATCCCCAGTCAGGGCATACACAAGAATCAATCAATAAATGCATAAATAAGTGGAACAACAAATCGACGTTTCTCTCTCTCAAAAAAAATCAATAAATTTTTTAAAAGTTAAAGAAGTCTAAATCTGATATGCATCTCCTCTAATCTCAATTTGGCAAACTGAGTGGGTCCTAACCTGGAAACATGAGTCCTTAAAGGCATAGCAGGAAAACTTATGGAAGAAGTAGACAGCATTCCACTTGGTGGCTATCCCCCTGTCACAGGCTAGCAAAGAAGACTACTCAAGAAGGAACTGTGATGTTTAAGGTGGGGAATGCTTCTTTTCAACTGTCCTGGTTTTCATGAGGATGGATTTTCCATAAGTATTCCCAGCCTCTTGCCCTTATTCCCTGAAGTATGAAATCTGACTGATGAGTTTACCATTTACATTTCCTGACTGGATAGAGCTAATTTATCAAAAGTCTAAAACTTAGGGAATTTAATCCCTTTTTTAAAAACCTCTTAATCATCACTTGTGGCCTAATCAATTTGAGGCAAAAGTCTCCCATAAGTTGTCTTTTATGAAGACTCAAACTTTCCCTCGGGTGAGCAGTTCCAGTTCTGAAGTATTACAACACCACTGATACCATACAAACATACCTTCCAACAGCTCTCTCAAGAATAAAGCTGATATTTTTATCACCATCTGCTTTGTTCCTCCAACTACAGCTAAATTGGTTCCAATCTCAGGAGGAAACAAAAAAGGCAATTAGTATTATATACTGGGTTCCCTAAAACCTACGGTGGCCAAAATGTTTTTTATTTTCCCTGCCAAGAGGCAAGTCATGGCTGTAGAGAAACAGAAACAGCCGGCTGGGAGTCAATCTTGCACAGCCAACTAAAGTAGACTAGTAAGAGATACACGTTAGCACTGACCTGCCTCTGAAACCAATGACTAGTACATGTCTGTGTGAAACTGCTCAGAGAGAGAGCATATGAAAACTGTCTCCAAGCAGCCAACTAAGGAAGAGAGATCACAATAATGTGTCCAGTCTCCTGTGCCAGCCTCTAAGGCAGTTATTTTAATGGCCCCTGGAAAGGGGTTTTCATGCATTTACACAGCTGCATGAAAATAAAAAGGACAGGTCATAATGTGAAAAAGAAAAAATATATAAACATTTGAAGAACTGCTTCATAAAATATCAAGGAAAAACTGCTCTGAATGCTGACATATAAAACACACCTCCATAAAACAGATATTTTAAAATAGCTGAATGAAGCAAAAGATATTAAAAAAGAGGCAAAAATACACAAAACTGAAACCACATTAGAAACAACTCCAAGTAGAATAGATAATTCAGAAAACCAGGTTAATAACATGGATGGCAAGCCTGGGAAATCATTCAGAATGGAGATTACATGATAAAGGTGCCTAGATTCAAACTATACAGATAGAACAAAGATGATAGATTTGGAAGAGAAACAACTGAGATCTAACATAGTAATTATTCTTGAACAGAGAGAGAAAAACACATAAAACAGCTAAAACATTCAAAGAGATAAAGCTAAAAATTGAAAGGGCTCACTATGTCCCAGGAAAAATTAATAAGGAGTGATTAAGACCAAGATATATTATAGAATGTTGCTGAATTTCAAGGATAAATAAAGAAGGCTATTGCCATCTAGACAGAAGAAACAGGGCCACCTACAAATTAAATAATTTAGGCTGGCCTCAGACATCTCCTCAACAACGGCAACATTAGATAATTGATAAAGGTGAGTAATGCGTACGGTACTAAGAGAAAGGGAATATTACATGGAATTTTCTACTTAGCTAAAATACAATTTTAAAGGGTATAAAACTTTCCACTGTATGGATGTGATATAATTTATTTAACTAGTCTATCATTGAGGAATGTTTAGATTGTTTTCAGAATTTTATTATTTCAAACCATGCTGCAATAAATAAACATATATGTATTATTTGCAAGTATACCTATAAGATAAATTTCTGGAAGTATAATGGCTGAATCAAAAGATATATGTATTTTAACTTTTTTCCATTGTGTTAAACTGGCCTCCATAGAGATTTCAACATTTTTTAGGCCCACCAGTAATGCAAGTGTTTGTTCACCAAAACTGACCAACACACTGTGTTATTAAATTTTCTGATATTTTAGCTTATAGATAAAAATTATTTTTGGTAAAGTAATGATTTGCAATTATCTTACCATATTTCATCAATTGAAGGCACCATCATTTGAAAGGGGCATCATTATTTTATACATCTCTATATAAGAGCTACAAAGTGAACCGTGCTTCTAAATCATAAACTGTCAGATACATAAAAGTTCAGATATCAGAAATGATTTTAGAGATGTGAAACTATGAACAGGTGCTTCTTAGGATCAATCAAATATGGTATTTGAGTACGACTGAATACTTAGAAAGGTTTTTTAAGATATGCAGTAATCAGCCCTGGCTGGTGTGGCTCAGTGAATTGAGTGCCAGCCTGTGAACCAAAGGGTCACTGATTCACTTCCCAGTCAGGGCACATGCCTGGGTTGCAGGCCAGGTCCCCAGTAGAGGGTGTGTGAGAGACAAGTGGTTAATGTATTAGTGTTTTTGTCCCCTTCTTTCTCCCTCTCAAAATAAATAAATAAAATCTCTTCCCCAAGGGTAATTGGAACATTCACCAAAATAGACCATAAGCTAGACAGAAAAAAATCAATAAATATAAATGTACTGAAATAATATAGAGTATGTTCTATGACAACAACATCAGTAATTTAGAAATCAATAATAATGCTCTATCTAGGAAATTCCCAAATGTTTGGAAATAAAATAACACATCTAAATAAATAATGGAACAAAGAAATTACAGAGAAATTTTAAAATATTTTAAACTAAATGATAATGAAAACACTCAACTTTGTAGGGTGCAACTAAAGCATGCTTACAAGAAAACTTACAGCTTTACAATGCCTATGTGAAAGGAAAAAGATATAAAATCAATTACTTATACTTCTAACTTAAGAAGTGATAAAATTAGACCCAAAGTAGAATAAATAAAATAAAAACTAAGTGTAGCAATCAGTGAAATATTAGAAAACAGGCAAAAATGATAGAAAATCAATAGTCAAAAGTTGGTTTATTAAAAAAAAATAATAAAATGATAAGCTTCCAGCAAGACTGATCAAGCAAAAAAGAAAGAAAAATATGAATATGCAATATCAGGTGGGAAGAAAGAGAATGGTAATGGTAGAAAAAGAACTTCACCTTTATTGGAAATGTTTTATTTCTTTATTCAAAAAATACTTGAAAAAATATGACAGTGTTAGCAACAGTTAATGTTGCTACTGTAAATATGTATACTGTAGTAATTTAGTCTTTGTTTTTAAATAATAACAATAATGATAATTGCCCTGACTGGGGAGGCTCAGTGGATTGAATGATGGTCTGTGAACCAAAGTGTCACTGTTTCCATCCTCAGTCAGGGCATATGGATTGTGGGCCAGGTCCTCCGTTGGGGCTGTGTGAGAGGCAACCACACACTGATGTTTCACCCCCTTTCTCCTTCCCTTCCTCTCTCTCTAAAAATAAATAAATAAAATATTTTAAAAAATAAAAAATAAAATAATGACAATAATGATAATAACAAATTATATAGAAAGTGACTAACTTTTAATGGTTAATATTGGATCCAAGCAGAAGTTTGAAAAGTATGACTTCAGAAAAAAGGAAAAACTTAAGGGTTGAATGAAAAACTGACAAAATAGACAAATGCAAGAAGGGAATAAGGATATTATTAAATAACAAAAGCCACTTCCCATGAGGAAATATTTACAGTGATACATATTTAAAAGTCACACATCTCAACTGTTATTTTTAGAGAATATAAAAAGATAAAATTTTTATATTCTAAACATTTTAGAATAAAGAAAGTTTTTTCTTTATTCTAAAGTGCTACAGTGAGTACTAAAAAAGGTAAACTATAAAAATAAATTTTAGATATAAGATGTATCACAAAATGAAATCACAAGTTTGACAGTATAGTAGAACAAAATAATACATTACCTTTTTATATCTGATATTTAATATTTTGTCCTAGTCCAGTCATTGGTATAAATACTATTTTATTGTTTTATAATAAATGTAACAAAAACGTGGCTTTCTGAGGCAGTGAAAGACAAATACCATATGATCTCACCTTTAACAAGAACCTAATCAACAAAACAAACAAACAAGCAAAATATAACCAAAGATACTGAAATTGAGAACAGGCTGACAGTGACCAGAGGGGAGAGGGGAGGGAATTTCAGGGGAAAGGGTTTGCAGGAAAAATTATAAAGGACACAGGGACAATAACAAGGGTGGGGAGGGAAACAGGAGGGAGGTGGGGAGGGCTGGAAAGGTGGGGAGGGCTGGGGGAGCCGGGATGGGGGTAAAAGGCAGAAAACTGTACCTGAACAACAATTAAAATTTTTTAAAATGCTGTTAAAAAAGAACCCAAAAACGTGGCTTTCTAGTTTTTCCATCAGCCTGTTTTCAGCTTTTGCACTTTGGACTGGTTGATCTCTGAGCACTCATCCAACTCTAAAATTATGATGATTTGTCTGGAAATTATAATTACTTGTAATGAGAACAATATCTTGCATATAATTATTTCAATGGCTAGATGAGCACTAATTTTCACTATTAAATACATACAGAAATTTCAGAGAATACTGGGTATGTTAGGCACAGACAACATATATAAAAGGATTAAAAATTTGTCAAATAAAAATATTTATATAATATTAGATGATTATTTAGCCAACAAATGCATAATTAAGTCCTACTAAAGCCTGAGGCACTTGTGGCTACTCCATTAATATTCATGTGAAGATGACTAAAGTAATATCATCTTACGGTACATTGTCTGAATCAGAACCAAATGAGGAAACCAAAACCAGGGTTAAGCGTTATCTTCCAAATAACTTATTTCACAGGGAACTACAGTTTATAATAGTTTTTCTGCTCTGTGCATCATGATCATCCACTACATGAAAAATAATCCCACCCCTTCTATTGGCAAACCCACAGTATCACCGATTGGTTGCCAGGATGGATTTTCCCCCTCCCCCAACCCCATCCCCCCACCTTTCTCGGGAGGCAGGCATCTGATCCATGACATCATTTGGGCACCTGTTCAGATGGTCAGTGTTTCCACAGGCGGATCCGCGTGCGGCTGGGTTCAAGGCCCCGGCTCCAGTATTTGCGCGTGGAACCCCACCGAAGCTCGTGCATTTCGCTGTTCGCCGTAAACCGTAAATTTACTTATGTTTTGTTTTTACACACCGCTCGCCACTTAGTTTCTAAAGAAGGCATTCCCATTTCAAAATAATGACATAAGAATAACCACACCAAAAGGAGGTCAGCAGGAAGGCACCTAAAGACTGTGCACACTGGCCTCTAAGGGAAGGATCTTGACTTCGAGGGAAATCACTCAAACCAGTGGGCACTGCTTTCGTCCTGGGAGGACCCTGCTACAGCTCTGCCCCAAGGATCTCAGATAAGGGGGGAGGGCCGCAGGGGCCGAGGACTCCGTGTGTGCGTGAGGCCCCTCCCGCTGCTTCTCCACCACGGGCGTCGCCAGGGAAACCAGGGGTTTGGCCGCTGGGCCGGGGCAGCTGCGGAGGATGCTGTCGGAGGGCCGCAGGGGGTGAGATGAGGCGGCAGGGAGGCCAGAGACACTCACCTCAACGCCGTAGTCTGAATTGGCTGGTCCACCGTCCCTGGGGTAGCACTCTGCCTCGCGGAGTTCGTCTCAGCACCCGTTCCTCTGCCGCCCACGAGCCAGGCGACACCACCTGGGCGCCCCTGCAGCCCCGGCCCCTCCACACCGGAGCGCGGAGGTGTCGCCCCGGGGGCGCAGGAGGCGGGAGATTCAAACCCAGCAGCCTGGCGCCGCGGTGCGGCTGTCCTTGTCCACTGCCACCTCGCCCTCTGCTAACTCACCGGGCCCTGCCTCTCAGTCCCTCCTTTGCATTGAACAAACTCTGGACCGTCTCTGCTCCTCCTTTCCGAGCTCCTCTTAATGAAGTGAAAGGAATGAAATGTAAACTGAGCCCTGGACCTTCCCGAATCCTCCGGAGCTTCTCAGTCCCGGTGCCAGGACGCAGGAAATGCTCGCGTGCTATATTTTACTCTTGTTTTGAACGTTCGAAGAAGATTAAGTTAAAAACTGTTAATAACTGACCTTGAATGCGCATAATTTATTACCATATATGAGGCTTCAAGAGCAAAAGGTAAAGTTTGAGCCTAAAAACCTCAGGAAAAAAATGGAAATAAGGCAAAAGAAGGCAAACCACATTACTGGTGGAAAATAATTAAATTTCATACTGCTTTATTTTTAATTTTATGTTTTTAGGATTTCTTTATTGTTAGACTATTACTGTTGCCCAAATTTTTCCCCCTTTGGCCACCTCTGCCCAGCCCGCCCAGTCAGTCCCCACACCGTGTCCATGGCGGTGGGCCAGTGGGCCATTCACACGTGCTCAGTGACTAGTCCCTTCTCTTTCTTTCCACCGTTATCCCTCTCGCCTCCCTTCTGGCTGACAGTCTGTTCCATGTTTCCTGTCTCTGGTTCTATTTTGCTCCTTAGTTTATTTTGTTCATTAGGTTCCTCTTTTAAGTGAGATCGTATGGTATTTTTCTTTCACCCCCTGACTTATTTCACTCCACATAATATTCTCCAGATCCACCCATGCTGTCGCAAAGGGTAGGAGCTCCTTCTTTCTTTCCGCTGCATAGAATTCCATTGTGTAAATGGACCACAATTTTTTGATCCATTCATTTACTGATGGGCATCTAGGTTGCTTCCAGCACTTGGCTATTGTAAATAGCACTGCGATGAATGTAGGGGTGCATAGGTTCTTCTGGATTGGTGTTTCAGGGTTCTTAGGATATAATCTCAGCTGTGAAATTGCTGGGTCAAAAGGCAGATCCATTTTTAGTTTTGAGTTCCATACTTTTTTCCACAGCAGCTGCTCTAGTCTGCATTCTCGCCAACAGTGCACTAGGGTTCCCTTTTCTCCACATCCTAACCAACATGTGTTGTTTGTTGATTTATTGATGATGGCCATTTTGACAAATGTGAGGTGATATCGCATTGTGGTTTTAATTTGCTTCTCTCTGATGGCTAGTGACATTGAGTATCTTTTCATATGCCTATGGGCTCTCTGTATGTCCTCCTTGGAGAAGTATCTATTCAGGTCCTTTGCCCATTTTTTAATTGGATTGTCTGTCTTCCTGGTGTTGAGTCACATGGGTTCTTTATATATTTTGGAAATTAAACCCTTGTCTGAAGTATCATTGGCAAATATGCTGTCCCATACAGTCAGTTCCCTCTTCATTTTAATGATGGTTTCTTTAGTTATGCAGATGATTTTTAATTCGATGTAGTCCCATTTGTTTATTTTTTCCTTTATTTCCCTAGCCCTAGGAGATAAAATATCAGCAAAAATATTGCTACATGGGATGTCTAAAATTTTACTGTGAATGTTTTCTGCTCAGATTTTTATGGCATCAACTTATATTTAAGTCTTTATCCATTTTTAGTTTATTCTGGTGTATGGTATACGTTGGTGGTCTAGTTTCACTTTTTTTCATGTACCAGTCCAGTCTCCTAACACCATTTATTGAAGAGACTATTTTTACTCCATTGTATATTTGTGACCCCTTTGTTGAATATTAACTGACCATTGAGGCATGGGTTTAGTTCTGGGTTTTCAATTCTGTTCCATTGATCTTTGTGCCTGTTCTTATGCCAGTACCAGACTGTTTTGATTACAGTGGCCTTGCAGTATCATTTTTGTGTGTGTGTGTTTTTTAATCAAGTATTGTGATCCCTCCAACTTTGCTCTTCCTTCTCAAGATTGCTGTGGCTATTTGAGGTCTTTTTTGATTCCATATAAATTTTTGGAGTATTTTTAAAGGTTTTATTTATTTATTTTTAGAGAGGGGAAGGGAGGGAGAAAGAGAGAGAGAGAAACATCAATGTGTAGTTGCCTCTTGCATGCCCACCACTGGGGACCTGGCCAGCAACCCAGGCATGGGCCCTGACTGAATCAAACCTCAACTCTTTGGTTCACAGTCCAGTGCTCAATCCACTGAACCTCTCCAGCCAATGCTGGAGTATTGATTTTAGATCTGTGAAATATGCCAGTGGTATTTTAATAGGGATTGCATTGAATCTATGGATTGTTTTGGGGAGTATGGGCATTTTAAGATGTTAATTCTTCCGGTCCATAAACAGAGTATATATGCTTCCTTTTATTTGTATCTTCCTCAATTTCTCTCTTCAGTGCTCTATAGTTTTCCGAGTATAGGTCTTTTACTTCCTTGGTTAAATTTATACCTAGGTAATTTATTTTTTCTTATTGCTATAGTAAATGGGATTTTTTCTGTAGTTTCTCTTTCTGATAGTTCATTGGCGTACAAAAATGCCATCTATTTCTGAATATTAACTTTGTATCCTGCTACTTTGACAAATTCACCTATTAGGTTGAGTAGTTTTTCTTGGTGGAGAGTATAGGGTTTTCTATATGTACTACATGTTGTCTGCAAACAGTGACAGTTTTACTTCTTCCTTCCAAATTTGAATGCCTTTTATTTCCTTTTCTCGTCTGATGGCTGTGGCTAGAATTTCCAGTACTATGTTGAATAAAAATGGTGAGAATAGACACCCTTGTCTTGTTCTTGATCTCAAGGGAAAAGCTTTTAGTTTTTGCCTATTGAGTATGATGATGGCAATAGGTTTCTCATATATGGCCCTAATGATGTTGAGGTATGCTCCCTCTATTCCTACTTTGCTAATTGTTATCATAAATGGGGCTTGGATTTTATGAAATGCTTTTTCAGTATCTATTGGTATGATCATGTGTTTTTTGTCCTTCATTTTGTTTATGTGGTATATAACACATAGTGCTTTCTTCTAAAATGAGCAAAAAGCCCTGGCTGGTGTAACTCAGCCCTGGCTGGATTGAGTATGGGCTGCGAACCAAAGCATTGCAGGTTCGATTCCCAGTCAGGGCACATGCCTGGATTGCAGGCCACGGCCCCCAGCAACTGCACATTGATGTTTCTTTCTCTCTTTCTTTCTCCCTCCTTTCCCTCTCTAAAAATAAATAAATAAAATCTTTTAAAAAATAAAAATAAAATGACAAAAAAATATCAGCTGTCCTAAAACTTTACAATATGAATTAATTACAACTATGACACATAGGCTAGCAAGGGAATAAAGCTTGCATAACTGAAGTCTGTAATATCATGAAAGACAAGATGGGGTGTCATTTAGAATATTATTACAAAGCACTTACCTTAAAAACCTGAAAAACCTGTTTTAGAAGAGGAAATGTTTAGGCTATTTATACCACAGAATTATTTGGGCTGAAAATATTAAACTGTCTTTAGATTAGGAATTCTTACCCTAAGATATATGGGATTTCAAGGAATGGGTAGATAATTGAATATTCAAAAATTTAGTTTTTGTTTTTTAAAGAATTCACAGCTTCCTTCAGATTCTCCTTAAAAAGGTAAGAATTTTCATTTGGCAAATATGATGATTGTTGTTCTTCCTTGGATCTTTTCTGACTTATTCCTGCTAAATCTGGCCTCCCTCCTAAGGGCAGCTCCCTCCTCTCAACAGCTCTCCTGCATTGTAATTATTAACCTGTCTGTGCTCCAGTTAGAGGCTGAGCACCTCCAAAGTGAAAATTGTATGCATTTCTGTAGCCTTATCTAACCCAGTGGCTAATACATACTAGGTTGGGAATGAATGTTTATCCAATCAATAAATGAACAGAAACAAAGATAGTAATTGACAACTGAAGGAGACAGTATAAAATATTGAAAAAGAACTGAACGTTTTTCTCCCCAAAGAAAAAAATGATAAGCAAAATGACTTTGAAAATTTTACCACACACTGGTAGCGAGTTCCTTAGCATATTTTAGGAAATGCTTGGTCCAACAGGATGAAGTTTAACTCAAGAGGATATTAAACAAATAGCTTCTTCAGCTCAATCTGAAGCTGAGAAAGATCCAGAAAGGAACACCAGGAAGTAAGAGTAGTGACTCTGGGCCAGGTCTGTTAGTTTTGTTCAGTTAACTGGGAAAATTACCAAAAGATATACAATGTTTCCAAGTCACCATAAAACGTAGCATTTACACACAATCCCTTTTCCTCCCTTGGGAAATTGGAAAAGTCTGTATTCATGCTGCCTGTCACTACCAGAACAAATAAACAGAGACAGGGATTGAATTTTTATGAGCGCTTTATTCAGATGGCTGGCAATCTGAGAGGGCAGTGGGTTATGTATGTGAACAGACCATCTTCCCCTGAACTTTTAGAAGCAAATTTATATGAGGAAACATGGGAATTTGGGAGGAGGAAATTCCTAAGGGGAGCACATATGTGCAGACATGTTGTTTCTCTTGGAAGGACAGCTGACAGGGGAGTCACATAGCTTCTTCCCAAAGTAGTTCCCTTTCTAGTGTTACCTGCATTTGCATTAGCATTCCTTTCTTCCCAGGACACCTGTGGTTTATGGCCAGGGAAGCTATGTATTCTCTGGTTAAGGAGCAGAAGTATAAACCATTTGCTCTCCAGTGTCCATGGTTAAAGGAGATGAGGTCTTGCAATTCACCAGCTGGCTGTAGGTTGCTCAAATTGGTAGGCCTTGTTTGATATTATTGCCTGAGTTTCCCTTTCCACTAGCCCAGGAATTTTCCTAGCTTCTTACTATCCTGTCTAAGCAGGTCACTAAGAAAAGTGTGCAAGTTGGGACACAGTATAGAGATGGTTTCAGGAAACAAGGTGGAACCACTGACACTTCTGGGTAGGAATCAAATCTTCTTCCTCATGGTATTTCATAAATGTTTGTTGGATTGATAAGGAAATATTTAAATAGCTGGTACTA